GGCTCTATAATCGCATACGCAAAGAAAGAAGGGTTTACTGTTCCTGGTGGGGGAGGAGGTTGTTAATGTGGTTGGGCTAGGCATTCGTCCGTTGCCCTCGATATTCAACTAACACACCTGTTGATATAAAAGTTTCGACAAAACAGACACAGTCACGGAAGATATGTTTATTCTGATACAGATCAGTAACGTACAGGTGTATAGATATACATGTATACCTCAAATAGATGCCTTCTTTGCAGGTACTGATACCGGTCACTCTTCAGCCAGGGCAGGGACACTTGGTCAAGGACAATAAAAAGATAATTTTCAATTTTGGCAATTTGCAATTTACTTAAAAGTAGGTGATAGATAATAGCTTAGATCTTACAATTAATTCACAGCTGACCAAATGTATATTGCGGTGGCCACGCTGGGATTTATTATGGGATGGCCTAAAAGTCGGGCTGGGCCGGGCCAAGGCGGGACAAATCTATTATTGTCTAATAAACCCATTAACGAAAACCATGCCTACAATTAATCAATGCAACATACATTCATGATAATAATGATCAATCGGAAGCCACAAACGCGTACCATAATAACTTTATTACGAGTAAATCGGCTAAAATCCAGGAAGACGAGAAGCCTGTGAACTGGCTGACCGAGGTTATGTCTAAAAGTGGAATCGTTAAACAAAACAGGATTTAAAACGTATAAATACTTCAGCCAATTCCGATACACATTTCCGTCGGCCCGAAAATGTTTTAACATCTCTATCCAATCACGTACCACCCCATAAATTCACTATTCATCGTATTTAAAGCATGACAACATTTAAATGATACGATCTCTTCTCCACACTCTCAACATTATCTCGGCCATAATTTTCCGCCCGGCTTGGCTCGAGCCGTCAAAAGCAACTTAAACGTAACACACGTATCTTGAATTGTGTTTAAATCCATAGACTGGTATTATATCTACCTGAATATCGCTTTGTAATGTTATAAAATGCAACATGTAAAGAAAACTGCTCCGTTAAAGTGAAGCCCTTGTCTCTCCCCAAACACAACATAACCTCAATCAAAAGTGTTTAGTCTCTGTTCAGCCCGACTTGGCCCGTGCTGTCAAAAACAACTTAAACCTCACACATGTATCTTGAAATCTGTTTATATCCATAGATTAGTATTATATCTACCGGTACCTAAAAACGTCTTTATAGAGTCTCAAAGCGTAGTATTTGAAGCAAACACCTTGCTCAAAGTGAAGCCCTATTTTCTATACATTCTCAACAAAGACACAGTATCACAAGCGTTCGGTCCGGCTTGGCCCGGGCTCTCAAAAACAACTTCAACCTCACACATGTATTCTGGTTTGTGTTTGAATCCATAGATTGGCATTATATCTACCTAAATATCAATGTGTGATGTTACAAAATGCCACATGTAAAAAGATAACTGGTTCGTTAAAGTTAGCCTTTTTCTCTCTCCATTCACAATATAGTCTCAATCAAAAGTGGTTAGTCTCTATACAGCCCGACTTGGCCCGTGCTGTCAAAAACAACTTAAACCTCACACATGTATCTTGAAATCTGTTTATATCCATAGATTAGTATTATATCTACCGGTACCTAAAAACGTCTTTATAGAGTCTCAAAGCGTAGTATTTGAAGCAAACACCTTGCTCAAAGTGAAGCCCTATTTTCTAAACATTCTCAACAAAGACACAGTATCACAAGCTTTCGGTCCGGCTTGGCCCGGGCTCTCAAACGCACCTTATACCTCACAGATGTATCTTGAATTGTGTTTAAATCCATAGATTGGCATTATATCTACCTAAATATCAATGTGTGATGTTACAAAATGCCACATGTAAAGATAACTGCTCCGTTAAAGTGAAGCCCTTTTCTCTCTCCATTCACAATATAATCTCAATCAAAAGTGTTTAGTCTCTGTTCAGCCCGACTTGGCCCGTGCTGTCAAAAACAACTTAAACCTCACGCATGTATCCTGATTTGTGTTTAAATCCATAGATTAGTATTATATCTACCTGAATATCATTAGCATTTGGAGTAAGCTAGGCGAGACACTGTGGATTTAATGAAAACATACTTCTCCCACTGCTCTCTCTAATACTTCTATTGTCTGTATGCGTGTTCAGGAAAACAGGATTATCTGAAACGCTTGAAGTTTACAACATCCGAGTAACCGTTGGCAAAGCTCTCACAGTGAAAACAATGTTCTCCCGAGCCTGAGCTGGGCAACACAGTGTCATTGCCGTGGATGTGTTTTCATACTTTCGTATGTTCAAATTATATAACCATAACATCTCACACGGCAAGTCATTTTAGCTGATACCTTCTGATATTTATTAAATTACTGATATGTTCAAATCATGTCATGAATAGCTTCAGCCGGCTATCTATATCTGTACTAGTATGAAGTGATGTTTATACTGTGGAAACTGTACGGAGAACACCCTGTATTCTGAACCACTAAAAAAACCCACCTCTTTCAAGCAGTTCACGTCATATATTTGGGTATAATATCTTCTGATATTTATTAAGTTAATTATATGTGTAAATCATATTACGAATAGCTTCAGACTGCCATCTGTATCGGTACTAGTATTCATTAATGTTTATACTCTGGAACATGTACGGAGAACATCCCATACGAAGCATAACACGAGTGGAAGCATAAATAATTATATATATATAGAGAGAGAGAGAGAGAACAAATGTCTCATTTTTAGCATTTCTAATTTAATCAGTGATTACATGCCCCTCTCTGATAAACGTTATGAAAAAACGGTGGAGTAATCAATAACACTGAAGGCCCCTGAACGGTAATTAAGGGCAACAATGGAGTATGTTAATTGAATCACAACACCTAGCTGATTGCAATTAGACAAGGGGCAATTAAGCAAGCTGGATACAGGTGTAATTAACAGGTGTATTAATTTCATTAGCCCGCACAGAGCCAGATTGAACACTGGGCTTCACTTTAAGCAACGTGTTAGATTTAAATACATGTACAAAGCTTTGAGCCTCAATAAAGAGGTATTTAGGTAGATATAATACCAATCTATGGATTTAAACACATTTCAAGATACATCTGTGAGGTTTAAGGTGCGTTGAGCGCCCGGGCCAAGCCGGACCGAACGCTTGCGATACTGTGTCTTTGTTGAGAATGTATAGAAAATAGGGCTTCACTTTGAGCAAGGTGTTTGCTTCAAATACTACGCTTTGAGACTCTATAAAGACGTTTTTAGGTAGATATAATACTATTCTATGGATATAAACATATTTCAAGATACATGTGTGAGGTTTAAGTTGTTTTCGACAGCACGGGCCAAGTCGGGCTGAACAGAGACTAAACACTTTTGATTGAGGCTATATTGTGAATGGAGAGAGGAAAGGGCTTCACTTTAACGAACCAGTTTTCTTTACATGTGGCATTTTTTAACATCACACATTGATATTTAGGTAGATATAATACTAATCTATGGAATTAAACACAAACCAGGACATATGTGTGGGGTTTAAGTTGTTTTTGAGAGCCCGGGCCAAGCCGGACCGAAAGCATGACTGTGATACTGTGTGGTCGTTGAGAATGTATAGAAAATAGGGCTTCACTTGAAGCAACGTATTTGCTTCAAACAGAACGCTTTGAGACTCTATAAAGACGTACTTAGGTAGATATAACTTTATTCTAGAGATATAGCCACAAATCAGTATACATGTGTGAGGTTTAAGTTGTTTTTGACAGCACGGGCCAAGTCGGGCTGAACAGAGACTAAACACTTTTGATTGAGGTTATGTTGTGTTTGGGGAGAGACAAGGGCTTCACTTTAACGAACCAGTTATCTTTACATGTGGCATTTTGTAACATCACACATTGATATTTAGGTAGATTATAATACTAATCTATGGATTTAAACACAAATCAGGATACATGTGTGGGGTGAAAGTTGTTTTTCAAAGCCCGAGCCAAGGCGTACCGAACGCTTGTGATACAGTGTCTTTGTTGAGAATATGTAGAAAAGAGAGCTTCACTTTCAGCAACGTTTTTGCTTCAAATACTACGCTTTGAGACTCTGTAAAGTGATATGTTTTGACAGCACGGGCCAAGTCGGGCCGAACAAAGACTGAACACTTTTGACTGCTGATTTTGTTTTCCGAGGACTTTTTTCCCCTAAATCGTTGGGAATGGAGAGAGAAAGGGGCTTCACTTTTACTTTACTTTATGAAGTGGTATTTAGGTAGATATAATACCATTTTGTGTTTCATGTGTAATAGTAAATATAAGCATAAGCATATGCATACGCGCTGGCTATCTGATTTGGACTGGTATTGTTTAAAATGAAAACACATAAGAATTTTTGTGTTTGTGAATGCATACTTTGTTTGATCCTTTATAACATATTACAAAATGTTGTGATTTCAAATATTTCTTTTAATATACATAATCATGTCATATTTGCCCATTGACACTCGCCGATATCCACGTCTCTTTAACATAAACATCCAGTGCTCATTCAGCATGAGACAATAAAGGTTAATTAGGGAACCCCAATATCTTAATTAAGGAAAGAAAAGCAGTCAAAACACTGTCACTTCCTGCCCAGGGCCCAGATTTTCGAAGCTCTCTTAGCGCTAAGCTAGTCGTAAGTTAATGTTAATGTATGGAACTTACGACTATCTTAGCGCTAAGAGAGCTTCGAAAATCTAGGCCCTGGACCCCAGGATGTCACACGCTAAGAGAAGTAAGCAACCTTCCCTCATAGACATATCAAGGAAAACACATAACAACAAGACAGTGTCTTTTCTACGGGAATCTCGGTATGTAGTCATTGTTGTTGGGTGGGTTTTTTCACCATTAACTATACATTTTCAATCAAACTATGCATTTGTGAAGTGCAGGTTTCGTTTTAATATTCTGCAATCCATTTTTAGTATTACCCGGTGGCCCGGGCCGGCCCGACTTTTCTTGGCCAGACTTTTAGGCCATCCCATTTATTATGTTCACAGAGACAGAAGATCTTCCTAATCATTTCCCGACTCATGCTCATTTAATTTGCTTTTTCTTCCAACCACGCCTCACCTCCTCATTCCACCACCCAACCTCACCCCAACACCTATCGCACTCTTCACCCTAAATGCTATCTTTATGTATACTACACACATGTAAAACAACGTATACGTGTGGAGGGGGTTGTCATTGCTGCAAGAAACGTGTGTCGTTGATGTCCCTTATGGTGTCTGGAGGCGCCTTCCCCGGACGGGTTCAGCCGACATTCCGACCTTGTCTGCACGCGGACCCCAGCGTGATCTAGCACGTTGAACCTCTTTGTCCTTTCCATTCTGCAACAGTTGACGCAAAATATTCTGACTATATCTTAACTATGTCGACTTATATCATAGTGAGCGAGTACGAGGGTCGATTAAAAAGTACGTAGCCTAACTGTATTTTCGATGTCCAATGTTTGAAAACCTTCCATTTTATTTTGAAGGAATCGTTAGCAAAGCCATATCCAAAATGTCACATGTGTGGGTAATGTGGTTAACCAGATATTTGTCATCACAACACAATATTTCTAACAAAATTGCAGAAAATGAAAAACAATTTGTCTTTTGGTACCTCTTGGATAATGGTATGCCCTCAGATAATGTCATATAGAATATGTTCAGTATAGTATTGGATAACTTCCCGTCATGATCAACAGTCAAAGATTTGGATTGCCAGATTTATATTTAGTCGGGGGCTATTTTTTAAGGACACCCCATTTTAATCTTTCAAAAACATTGTGTCCAGATATTCAAGCTGGTACTGTTTACAATATATTGTGAGCTGACACTTGTGTGACCTTTCAGTATTTAGTTTGAACCCTTGGCATCATGTATGCATAAGTGAACACATTAGAATAAGCTATGCCCTTATGATTACGTCATCTGAAAAGGGGATGGGTAGTGTCTCCAAAACAAGTTTATATGAAGGGGGGAGTCACTTTAGCAAGCGATTGTAATTTCAAATTGCTTTTTTATGAACTTTAAGATCTAAGTGTGATTCTAGGGGACTTCTATCAATCTCAAACACACAAAATATTTCATGCATATTTTGTTTCCTGAAGTTTTTGATGCATTTATTGTAGATTTTACGTTTTTTGAGGGTACCAAAATATAGAGTCAAACAAAATGGGGATGGTGAGACTGGAACATAGCAAAACAAAGTTGCTTGAGCTTGACAGATAATATGTAGAAAAATAAAACATAAAAATAACTGCATTTGTATCGTTTTCTTGGTGATTCTACATACTTTTTGATCGCCCCTCGTATGTCTTTACTCAGCTTTAGCAATATTCCGGCAATGTCACGACAGGGGCCACCAGTAATTGTCTTGACATTTAATTTTATACATCACACGACACAAACTTAAATCACTTTTGCATCACAGTACGCTGCTCCCCTTTTTGTTCCTAGAAAATTATACCCGTGATATGATCTTCATGTCTCTGAGTGTACATTTTGATGTTTATGTCACCGAAAGTACAGAATGATGTTTATGTCCCCGAAAGTACAAAATGATGTTTATGTCCCCGAAAGTACAAAATGATGTTTATGTCCCCGCTAGTACAAAATGTGTATGTCCCCGAAAGTACAAAATGTGTATGTCCCCGAAAGTACAAAATGTGTATGTCCCCGAAAGTACAAAATGTGTGGAAAGTACAAAATGTGTATGTCCCCGAAAGTACAAAATGATGTGTATGTCCCCGAAAGTACAAAATGATGTTTATGTCCCCGACAGTACAAAATGATGTGTATGTCCCCGAAAGTACAAAATGATGTGTATGTCCCCGAAAGTACAAAATGTGTGGAAAGTACAACATGTGTATGTCCCCGAAAGTACAAAATGATGTGTATGTCCCCGAGAGTACAAAATGATGTTTATGTCCCCGAAAGTACAAAATGATGTTTATGTCCCCGATAGTACAAAATGTGTATGTCCCCGAAAGTACAAAATGTGTATGTCCCCGAAAGTACAAAATGTGTGGAAAGTACAACATGTGTATGTCCCCGAAAGTACAAAATGATGTGTATGTCCCCGAGAGTACAAAATGATGTGTATGTCCCCGAAAGTACAAAATGATGTGTATGTCCCCGAAAGTACAAAATGATGTGTATGTCCCCGAAAGTACAAAATGATGTTTATGTCCCCGAAAGAACAAAATGATGTGTATGTCCCCGAAAGAACAAAATGATGTGTATGTCCCCGAAAGTACAAAATGATGTGTATGTCCCCGAAAGTACAAAATGATGTGTATGTCCCCGAAAGAACAAAATGATGTGTATGTCCCCGACAGTACAAAATGATGTGTATGTCCCCGAAAGAACAAAATGATGTTTATGTCCCCGAAAGTACAAAATGATGTTTATGTCCCCGAAAGTACAAAATGATGTTTATGTCCCCGATATTACAGTATAATGTTTATGTCCCCGATATTACAGTATAATGTTTATATCCCCGATATTACAGTATAATGTTTATATCCCCGATATTACAGTATAATGTTTATATCCCCGATATTACAGTATAATGTTTATATCCCCGATATTACAGTATAATGTTTATATCCCCGATATTACAGTATAATGTTTATATCCCCGATATTACAGTATAATGTTTATGTCCCCGATATTACAGTATAATGTTTATATCCCCGATATTACAGTATAATGTTTATATCCCCGATATTACAGTATAATGTTTATATCCCCGATATTACAGTATAATGTTTATATCCCCGATATTACAGTATAATGTTTATATCCCCGATATTACAGTATAATGTTTATGTTCCTGAGATTGCAGTATGATGTATACACATGGATAAAAGTATCGCAACACCCCGTATTTTTCATAATGTCAACATGTTTCCATTAACCATAGCAAAATACCTTAATTTAACTGAACAAAAACTGTAGTTTATTCAGAGAAGCAAACATGGCGAAAGATTGTCTCATTTTATGGTGCTGATTACTGTGGTGGTCGCATGACATTAACATGTGTAGTCATTGTCAAGGTTCTGGCATATAATCCTTAAGAAATGACATAAGTATCAATAACCGAGAACAATTGTGTAACATCCGCCAACTGCAATGACATCCCTGATCCACCTCGTATCAGATGTTGAATTTGATATTCTTGAGGTATTCTTGAGTATTCCATTACATCACGATTATGCACTGGAAGATCTCTCTGACGTATTTTGCGACTCATAATGTCCCAAACATGCATGTTCTGTTGGATTGAGATCTGTATTCCAGGCGGACCAATGTAGAGGTGCTACGTCATGACGTAAGGAATCGCCAACAGCCTAGCATTGTCGTCCATTGACACTGGTCTTCTGTTCAGAGGGTGATCATGGAAATGTGACAACAGCACTGTTTACGATGTTACTGATGTCTATCAGTATTTGTATCATCTCCACCAGGTCAAATTTACAGCTATGTGACATGCACCCCCACACCAAAGAAACCCCACCAAACGGCTCCTGCTCCAAGATATTCCGTTGTGCCTATGCAGTGATTCTGCGGCGTCAAAGGCGAACTCGGTTATCAGTCATAAACAAACGATATCGACGTTCGTCCGACCAGTGATCCCTTCTCTATGACCTCCAGTGACGCCGAAGCTAGTCCGGCTGCTTTCTGCTCTGGGGATAACTATGGCCGTGTGTGTGGAAGCCACTTTGTTTTAACACGCCGCTTGGCATGAACGGATTCAGATTTTGAGAAAGGCTATATCCACGTTTAAACGTCATTAATTTGCTGAAGATTCGTGGCCAATGGACGTCGATGGATTACAACCAATATTTCTTGCAATATCCATCAGTGGCATGTCAGCATTCCGCATACTAATAACTTGCCATATTTAAGCAGTGTTCAGTTGGGGAGGCTCAATATTTGCTTATCAACAACGAAATCAAGTGATTTTCCAAGTGTACTGAAACTTTATATTTGCTTCATGACGATGCATATCTAACAACGATGGGTCACAATAATTACACAAACAAACAAAATTATGGGCTTAAAAATCATGAGCGATATGTTTATCCATGTGCATTTATATCCCCGAGATTACAATGTGGATTTTATGTTACCGAGATTGCAACACGATGTACATATCCCAAATATTGCAGTGAGATTTTTATGTCAGCGAGATTACAATATGATTTTCATGTTCCCGAGGTTACAGTATGGTGTTTATTCTTGGAGGTTATAATGTGATGTTTACGTTCCCGAGATACAGTATTTTTGCTGACAAGATTGCAATATTGCTGGGTGTTTTGTCCCCGAGATTGAGGTATGATGTTTATATCCCCGGGATTGCTGTATGGCGTTTATATCCCCGAGATTGCAGTTTGGCGTTTATATCCCCGAGATTGCAGTATGATTATTTCCCCGAGATTGCAGTATGATGTTTATATCCCCGAGATTGCAGTATGACGTTTATATCTCCGTGATTGCAGTATGATGTTTATATCCCCGAGATTGCAATATGACGTTTATATCCCCGAGATTGCAGTATGATGTTTATATCCCCGAGATTGCAGTATGATGTTTATATCTCCGAGATTGCAGTATGATGTTTATATCCCCGAGATTGCAGTATGATGTTTATATCTCCGAGATTGCAGTATGATGTTTATATCCCCGAGATTGCAGTATGATGTTTATATCCCCGAGATTGCAGTAAAGTGTGATTGAGCCAGAAGTGACGTACGTGTGTAAGCTGGTGCTGCAACATTTTCTTCATCTTGACGTGTGCCCTCTTCATCACCGAGCAGTAATACAACGACAACCTGAAATATCGTCAACGTGTTCAGAATGACTTTGTAGCCACAGGGTATTTTCCTGACTTTGAGAGGGCCTTCTTCTGTATTATTACCAAATCTAACATACACCTTGGGGTACTTCACATGGAAATCAGTGTCTAAGGAAAGGAACTGATATGTCACCATACCTATCAATATCGACAACCTTTTGGTTTCACAGGAACACAAATTAGAGAGTTACAATGGTTTACAGTTAGGCCCTATATTGTGTTTTGTCGTTTGGACCTTTTGGTGTGTTTCGAGGGCAAAGCGAATTGTCCCCGCATTCATCAATTAAGGTATTGCATCCAATATGTTATCGTATGCATTACTACAAAATGACACGGTGACTTCACAAGCTATACGGGTATATGACTTTAGAACCAAGGACTACCTTGCAGTGTGAGTATATTCAGTGTGGTCACCTACCCCAGTAGCACTAAGGCTGACGTCGTGATGGCAGCTGACGTGAGGACGTTGTAGATAGACGCCACAACACTGGGGAAGCCTCTCACTGTTTCGTCGAGTACGGTGAACATCGAGTTGTAGATCCTAAACGGGCCACACCCCTTTGACGGACTTAACCTGTGAGAAACGGTTCAGCATATCATCTGTTCCCCCATGTTCGACATTATGCATTAACAGTATTATGTGGCAAAATATGACCTTGGTTTGACCTAGTTTTTTATATTGTCCCTCGTACCGCTGTGCAGTTATTTAACACACCTAACGTCACTATCGTCGCCATTTTCCTGCGATTCCTGACGTTGATGTTAAAGGGACCACTTACAGCCTGGCTGTTGATGATGCCAGTGTCAGGACTATTCCATGTATACCACAGTGGCCTGTACTCTATACACGGGGGCAGGCAGGGCAGCATGTGATGGCATGCAGCGACCGCTGTCGTTAGTTTAGTTTGTTGTTGAACGTCACACTCATCACTTTTCCTGCTATTTGACAGCAGTCTGTAAGTAATCGAGTCTGGGCCACAGAATCTAGTGATTAGCATCCTGGGGTGTATGCAGTTGGGATAGAATGACATGCCTCGACAATGTCAGCGAGTCTCAGCACCATGTCCCGTTCGTCCCCTCTAACGACAAGCATGGACTGCCGAGACCAGTTCTAACGCGGATCATCACTGGTACAGAGCCGTCAGGGTACAATGGATTACCATCAACCAAATCTCACACTGTAAGAAAATTATATGTATTTAAGTTGATCCTGCGACAGGTACTGGGGTCTACTGAAGCCTAGGACTCCTGCATGGGCTGTAAAATATGTCGGCGAGTACGTACGCGGCCATGGTATAGATGACGGGGATGCAGCAGAAGAAGAAGGCGATGAAGAGCACGACCATGAAGAAGGAGTTGGAGCGAGACGCTCGGTACGGCCGCTCGGACGGCTCACACGCCTTCAAGGCAGACAGCTGTAACATGGTATTCAGTCATACATGCTACCTCCAGTACATGGTGCACATGTGATCAAGGAAAGAATACAGCCATAATTATAGTGACATCGTTTTGTAGGGAACTTTGTCATTTACTTGTGGGAAGTTGAAGATTGGTGATCGGCATGAGTCTGGCCATTTACCTCTTGAATTAACTTGTAAGTTCCCCCGTATTAATCATAGCTCGAACGATGATAACGGCTCCACAAATATTAAACGACTGGTATGGAATGATAATTTTGCAAGCTTTCTATTTTATCGAACATGAAAGACAACAACTTCGTTTGGAGGAATTTTACTCAAAACAATTGATACAGATGTAAATGGAGCCATAAATGACTTTGTAGAACTGTTATCGACTTCAGCTAATTGCATGCTTAAAGATGTCAGTCGCAAAGACCGAACAAATGCTCTAAATACAGATTGTAGAAATGCGCGACGCATGCTCGTAAACATCTTCGTAGATTCAGAGTGACTCGTAGCAATTATGATAGACGGAAATATTGCGAAAGTAGAAATAAGTATAAAGCTTGTTGTCGAAAATATCAGTTTGATATGAGAATGTGCAGACAGGAAAGGTTAGACAGATCTATAAACAGCCCGTCTGCACTTTGGAAAATATCATAACTAAAACTCAGTGGTTAAATTATTTCAAAGATGTATATTCAAATGGTGAGATATTAGACTCGACATTCGACGATGAAATTAATACTGTAGATTCCAACAATGATTATTATACAGAAGTAGATCAACTTGTACTAGACAGTCCTATCGCTCAACAGGAAATATTAGAAGCGATCAATCATCTTACAAATGGGAAGGCTGCTGGACCTGACGTTATCATAGTAGAAATGATAAAGTGTTCTAAAGTCGAAATTATGCCGTTCCTTACGAAGTGCTTCAATATATAAGCTGTTTAAAATGGAATTTTCCCTGCAGTTGGTGAAGCTCTATAATAATTCCACTTCATAACAAGGGGGACAGAAACGATCCAGATAATTATCGGGGTATATCATTAATGAGTATCTTGGGGAAAGTGTATGAGTTGAAATTGAACAATAGACTATTAAACTGGGCGAATATGCGTAATAAGATTCCTGAATCTCAGACAGGATTTAATAAGCGATATTCTACTACGGATCACATATTTACTCTGTATGCACTGGTCCAAAAAGCATTATTAAAAAGAAAACATAAGTTGTACATAGCATTTGTAGATTTAAAACACAACAACATTCGATTCGGTCAACCGTTCTAAATTATGGCAGTGTTTTCGCAAAGCAGGTTTACAAGGGAAAATGGTTAGCATTCTGAAATCAATGTATTCTAACGTTCGATCTTGTGTGCGTTGCAAAGACGGGGTTACAGATCTTTTCGATTGCCCACTTGGTTTACGACAAGGTTGCTGCTTAAGTCCACTCCTATTTTCCTGCTTCATTAGTGAATTACATGTATATCACGAAATCAATTTAGGTGGAAAACGTGGAATCCAAATGTACCCAGGTCTTGTAGAAGTCCTAATGCTCCGCATTGCTGACGACGTTATTTTCGTTTCGGATACTGTGGTCGGTTTACAAATTCAATTAAATATCTTAGAAAGCTATACTAAAGAATGGAACTTAGCAGTTAATTTAAGCAAAACAGAAATTGGGATATTTAGGAGGGGCGGTCCTGTGGCCACAAACGAACTCTAGTTTTATGATGGTCAGTTGATTAATGTATCCGATCAGTATTCTTACTTAGGGTTTTTCAAACAGAATGAATTTAAATAAATGTTTACATTTAAATTTTATTATATGGATCTGAAATATGGGGTTTTCAGCGTTTCTATTGTATTGAGAGAGTTCATGTTTTAGCCTGGAAAAAGTAACTCAATGTAAACCCAAAGACACCTAACTGCATGGTATATGGTGAATGTGGCAGACTTCCTTTGTGTAGTAATTCTCAAATAAGATGTTTAAAATATTGGTTTAAGATTCTAAATATGCACGAACAACGTCTGTCAAAATTAGCTTACAATATGATTTTAAGTCTGGATAATTTGGGAAAACATACTTGGTTAACTGATGTCAAAAATTTATTATTTTCTCACGGTTTCGGTTTCATATGATTGTGCCAGACAATTGGCGATGTGAACAGGCCTATTAATGAATTTCGCGTTAGATCAATAGATATGTTTAATCAAGAATGGAAATCCACCTTAGACTCAAACTCACGATATGAATATTACAGGATCTGTAAAACATTACTCCAGCCAGAAAATTCTTTATTAATAATTACAACATTTAGTTTAAGAACAATGTTCGTGAAGTATCGTTTAGGTTTGTTATCTTTAATGATTAATGAGGGTAGAAAAACATCTGTCGAGAAAGTCGATATTGCCCTTTATGTATCGTAGGGATAGAAATGAAATTCATTTTACACTGATATATCCTTGTTATCATGAAATAAGGCAGAAATATATACCACACCATTTTCTTGCGAAACAACCCCTATATGCATGTATATCTTTGTTACAAGCTAATAATGAAAATATTCTTGTTCAATTGTCTTTGTATATAAAGCATGCACTAGCGAAAAGAGATATTTTTATATCAAGAATTGTATACCCTTAAATATATATATTTATATATCCAAAATATTCCTGTATCACTGTAACACTCATGTACATGGGCCGGAGGTCTTTCATACAATAAACATCTTTTGACTTTGACTTTGACTTGTGGGAAGTTGAGCAGCAAGATAGTATAGTAATTAAAGTTCGTTCAACACGGGAAGGACTCGGGTTCGAATCCCACCATGTGGTTCCCATCCCAGTGGTTCCATGGCATTGCTAAACATTGATAAAAGCGACGTAAGACCTAACTCAGTAACTCGCTACTATACAGGCTGCGTGAGGGTCACCAACAACCCGGCTGGTACACATTCTTGTCCCAGTGTATCGGGGCCTCCACGCAATGTTCAGTGTGCCTGATTTATTACTATACAGCGGTAGTAGAACTTCATGGTGTAAACTTTATGAATACAAGCCACATTGCGGAATAACTTTACTGAGAGCGAGGTTTGTGAAAGCATGGATCGGACACTTCTCCCCCGCGCCCTGATTATGAACCTTGTTTTGTTGTACCTTGCATTCACAATCCATGATATAACTGGAATCATTCAAGTCAATCATTCAGGCTTTGTTTACATTGTCTATAATAATAGAATTCCATTCCGCAGTGGGGAAAGATAGGCATAGTTTGCTAACAGCGGTAATCCTCGTCTTGTGAACTACACCTCTCACTCACTCACTCACTCACTCACTCACTCACGCAGAGGAAATGCAGGCAGACCGATGTGATCTGAATGCATTGAAAGATAACATTAATATGTGTATTATTGTTTCTAAATAGTAAATTTTTTATGGTGTTGAGATCATGAGAGGTTTGACCGTAATGTACATGTTTATCATAGTACCAGTGTAAGGCCAGTATTGATACCACCGACTCGTATTACCTACCCGCTTTACATAGAACACCACGAACAAGTGGACCATTATGAGAGCCGGTATCAGAGGGGCGAAGAAGAAGCCGATCCTGGAACAGAGGAAGTACATTAACACAATCACATTCTGATATGCATATTCACACTATTCATGCGTTTTGTACATTGCCGTGACGGTAACAATGGAACAACCTTTACGGTCAGATTGTAAGTAGTGTTGTTTGCCGTAGATTAGAGCCTAATAAAACCTGTTGTTATTGTACTGAGAGTGTTATCACACGACATGCAGCAGGGTTTATCAAATGTGCAAAGTTGTCAGAAAGACTGGCATTACAATTCTTAACATTAAGACTACACCGTCCCAGCAGACGTTCCAGCAAGCAATTACACCGACAGTAACATTAACCACCGCTTCCGATGCACCGACAGACACCTTCCGATGGAGCAGTTGCTCAGATTGTCTGGCAGCACTCGACTGAAAGTGTATCCAGCCCTACCAGCAGATGGCCTGACGCCACAAGACAGTGTATCCAGCCCTACCAGCAGATGACCTAACGCCACAAGACAGTGTATCCAGCCCTACCAGCAGATGGCCTGACGCCACAAGACAGTGTATCCAGCCCTACCAGCAGATGACCTAACCCCTCAAGACAGTGTATCCAGCCCTACCAGCAGATGGCCTAACGCCACAAGACAGTGTATCCAGCCCTACCAGCAGATGACCTAACGCCACAAGACAGTGTATCATACCAGCAGATGACCTAACGCCACAAGACAGTGTATCCAGCCCTACCAGCAGATGACCTAACGCCACAAGACAGTGTATCCTACAGAGCCTAAGGCCAGATGTATCCAGCCCTACCTAACGCCACAAGACAGTGTATCCAGCCCTACCAGCAGATGACCTAACGCCACAAGACAGTGTATAGATGACCTAACGCCACAAGACTGTATCCAGCCCTACCAGCAGATGACCTAACGCCACAAGACAGTGTATCCAGCCCTACCAGCAGATGACCTAACGCCACAAGACAGTGTATCCAGCCCTACCAGCAGATGACCTAACGCCACAAGACAGTGTATCCAGCCCTACCAGCAGATGACCTAACCACAAGACAGTGTATCCTACCCTACCAGCAGATGGCCTGACGCCACAAGACAGTGTATCCAGCCCAACCAGCAGATGACCTAACGCCACAAGACAGTGTATCCAGCCCTACCAGCAGATGACCTAACGCCACAAGACAGTGTATCCAGCCCTACCAGCAGATGACCTAACGCCACAAGACAGTGTATCCAGCCCTACCAGCAGATGACCTGACGCCACAAGACAGTGTATCCAGCCCTACCAGCAGATGACCTAACGCCACAAGACAGTGTATCCAGCCCTACCAGCAGATGACCTAACGCCACAAGACAGTGTATCCAGCCCTACCAGCAGATGACAGATCCTAACGCCACAAGACAGTGTATCCAGCCCTACCAGCAGATGACCTAACGCCACAAGACAGTGTATCCAGCCCTACCAGCAGATGACCTAACGCCACAAGACAGTGTATCCAGCCCTACCAGCAGATGACCTGTAACGCCAACAAGACAGTGTATCCTACCCTACCGGCAGATGACCTAACGCCACAAGACAGTGTATCCAGCCCTACCAGCAGATGACCTAACGCCACAAGACAGTGTATCCCCTACCAGCAGATGACCTAACGCCACAAGACAGTGTATCCAGCCCACCAGCAGATGACCTAACGCCACAAGACAGTGTATCCTACCAGCAGATGACCTAACGCCACAAGACAGTGTATCCAGCCCTACCAGCAGATGACCTAACGCCACAAGACAGTGTATCCTACCAGCAGATGACCTAACGCCACAAGACAGTGTATCCAGCCCTACCAGCAGATGACCTAGACAGTGTATCCAGCCCTACCAACGCCACAAGATGGCCTGACGCCACAAGACAGTGTATCCAGCCCTACCAGCAGATGGCCTAACGCCACAAGACAGTGTATCCACCCTACCAGCAGATGACCTAACTAACGCCACAAGACAGTGTATCCAGCCCTACCAGCAGATGACCTAACGCCACAAGACAGTGTATCCAGCCCTACCAGCAGATGGCCTAACGCCACAAGACAGTGTATCCAGCCCTACCAGCAGATGACCTAACGCCACAAGACAGTGTATCCAGCCCTACCAGCAGATGACCTAACGCCACAAGACAGTGTATCCAGCCCTACTAGCAGCAGATGACCTAACGCCACAAGACAGTGTATCCAGCCCTAACCAGCAGATGACCTAACGCCACAAGACAGTGTATCCAGCCCTACCAGCAGATGACCTAACGCCACAAGACAGTGTATCCAGCCCTACCAGCAGATGACCTAACGCCACAAGACAGTGTATCCAGCCCTACCAGCAGATGACCTAACGCCACAAGACAGTGTATCCAGCCCTACCAGCAGATGACCTAACGCCACAAGACAGTGTATCCAGCCCTACCAGCAGATGACCTAACGCCACAAGACAGTGTATCCAGCCCTACCAGCAGATGACCTAACGCCACAAGACAGTGTATCCTACCAGCAGATGACCTAACGCCACAAGACGCACCACAAGACAGTGTATCCAGCCCCCCAGCACCAGCAGATGAGCAGATGACCCTACCAGCAGATGACCTAACGCCACAAGACAGTGTATCCAGCCCTACCAGCAGATGACCTAACGCCACAAGACAGTGTATCCAGCCCTACCCTACCAGCAGATGGCCTATCGCCACAAGACAGATGTATCGCCACAAGACCCCCTACCAGCAGATGACCTAACGCCACAAGACAGTGTATCCAGCCCTACCAGCAGATGACCTAACGCCACAAGACAGTGTATCCAGCCCTACCAGCAGATGGCCTAACGCCACAAGACAGTGTATCCAGCCCTACCAGCAGATGACCTAACGCCACAAGACAGTGTATCCAGCCCTACCAGCCCTAACGCCACAAGACAGTGTATCCAGCCCTACCAGCAGATGACCTAACGCCACAAGACAGTGTATCCAGCCCTACCAGCAGATGACCTAACGCCACAAGACAGTGTATCCAGCCCTACCTAACGCCACAGATGACCTAACGCCACAAGACAGTGTATCCAGCCCTACCAGCAGATGACCTAACGCCACAAGACAGTGTATCCAGCCCTACCAGCAGATGACCTAACGCCACAAGACAGTGTATCCTACCCTACCGCAGATGACCTAACGCCACAAGACAGTGTATCCAGCCCTACCAGCAGATGACCTAACGCCACAAGACAGTGTATCCAGCCCTACCAGCAGATGGCCTAACGCCACAAGACAGTGTATCCAGCCCTACCAGCAGATGACCTAACGCCACAAGACAGTGTATCCAGCCCTACCAGCAGATGACCTAACGCCACAAGACAGTGTATCCAGCCCAACCAGCAGATGACCTAACGCCACAAGACAGTGTATCCAGCCCTACCAGCAGATGACCTAACGCCACAAGACAGTGTATCCAGCCCTACCAGCAGATGACCTAACGCCACAAGAAGGCCACAAGACAGTGTATCCTACCAGCAGATGACCTAACGCCACAAGACAGTGTATCCAGCCCTACCAGCAGATGGCCTGCGTGTACACTAGGTCCAGGACGTTTTGGGGAATGTGGAACACCGGGGGGCCGATCATCTGAAGCAGCTTCAACTTCTCCCCAAACTTGCTGACGATGAACCTGGACAGAGTGTGTGAGAAGCAGAAGTGGGTTAAGGCAACCGTTCGTCACTAATTGCTTGGTACTAACATCAATCCGAGATAGGGCACTATGAATTGGTTAATGACTTTGTTTTGTATTCAATTATGCCCCATTCATTGTTGCAATGTCTGATTTGCGGTGATAATTAGATATAATAGATCGTATTCACATCACTCACTGTCTCGGGAGCTCGACCAGGAACACCTTGATGACAGTTACCAGGAAGTTCATGATGACCAACTTGTACATCTGCTGCCCAACGTACGTCTCCCAGCACTGTCGGTAGAACACATTACACACGGTCACTCACTGCACACAGAACAGTCACACATTAGTGATCAGTCAATATTCAATACAGAGCAGCCAGAATAAAACTACATACATTGTAGTTTCGGTTGTATGCATAACATATTCAGATCAATGTTACACATAAAACGTTCGTTAACACAGACAGTCAGACGTGCAACACACTCGGACGATTAAGAGACAACTGTATTAAAGTCATAGTCCCATAGTTACGGCACGTCCCTGTCACATATACTATAATGAACGGAATTCCAGGTAACAGTATCAGACTGTACTCAGTGAACGGGGTGGCTGGTTGTCGGGTAATGTGCTCTTGGAAATATTCAAGAAACATTTGGATGAATCGAACCCGGGCAATCGGCGTAAAGAACTAACACTTTGACTATTTGGTTACCCCCACTGCTCCTAAACTGGAACCTAGCTAGATATGGCTGTCTCTCAGCCCGATGTACGTACAGTGTATTGTGAATATACGCAGTGTCACGCAGCGTTAACCAACGCAACTCACTGAAGAAATGGTAAAGCAAATACTGTACCGGAAGGACTGTACAAGGTGGTTGATTGGTCATGCAGGAAGCATCCTTGTTATCGCACTGGATCTCTGTGTACATGGACACTATCAGCATAGCCAGGGAAGATAGGCGCAGAAACACTGTCCTTCAAACACAAGAGTGTCGGAATGTGTATACGTTTATGTATATAGTCTGGCATATGGTATACAGAAACATCACAATGATAAACACACGTGCTAGGGCCTGTTTGTCCATACAGCTCTGAGGATGAAGTGTTGAGTGAAAGTTAACCTTCTAGCACCTCACGAGTTGCATGGGTTGTACACCCCCAGAGAGCTGGGAATCAGTCCACACTCGCCATCATCATTCCCAGTGGGGAATTTGGCGCATTATGAAGGGAGTTGCTATTACTATTACTCTATGTTCGCCGACATATTGCTGGCAATCTGTGTATATATTTGTGAAGGTGCTGTGGTGTTATCGGTATATATTTGTGAAGGTGCTGTGGTGGTATCGAGGGAACACGTGTTGTTTAAGTACCTGATGAGAGTGATCTGCACGACCCAAGCCTGGGAGTACTGCTCCAGCAGCACCACCTTGTCGAAGATGAGGGGGATGATGACGTTAAGGACGGTGAGGGTGAGGGACGGCAGGAACTGCACCAGCAGCAGAAGGTAGCTGTTGGTTGACGGGTTGTTGGATACGAACTGGAAACGAGGCGAGAGAATCGCGTCATGGTTGCCATGGTTATTCAGTTGCAGTCAACGTGAACTGACAGAATACGTGTGACAAGACCGAAGACCGTGGTCAGGACTTGCTTGCATTGAAGATGGTGTGTCAGAACACACGTATCAAGCATATATGTTTGAAAAGAATCCTTGAAACTATAATATAAATATGACTAGTAAAATAATGCTGATTATGAATATATAATGTGTGGATTACAGAACCAAGTATGGTAGATATATTTCAATATAGTCGGTAACGGGTATCAAGTTCTGATTTACAGAGCTCAGAAGTCAAAACAAAAAAAGCAGAAATATAGAACTTCTATACTTCTAAATGCGCCTGAAAGATGCTAAATAAAGAAACTTACTTCGGTTGAAAATTTAGTTGCAAAAAATATGCTGGCCCCTGCACCTGCGAGACAAGCGACGACGAAGACGTTGACCAGGAAGCGGATTGTGTAGAGGCCGCAGCGTTTACAGCAGGTCTCCCGTATCCTGGTTTGTGCCTTCTTGTACCGGTCCTCGCCCAGGTCACACTGGAGGGCAATACAAGCAGCACGTCACCTTTGACATATTACACCTATAGTGACGTGCATACTTGTTGGTGTGTGCGTGGCTGCGTGCGCGCGCGCGTGTGTGTGTGCGTGCGTTCATGCGTGATAGGAATAGTGCCGTTGTTATAGTTGAAATACGTCGCCACAGTGTATCATGGTAACCCCCAATCAAACACAATATGCTGATGGAAATCGATAACGTCGATAAGTTTGGTGAGACCAACAGATATAAGTATAAATCATTCAGATTATTATCCAATACTGGATAATGTCTAGGCAATCTGGATGTAGAGGAACTTTTCATCGTTTGCAAGAAGCAAGGTGGGTTTTCCAGTGTTCGCATTTCGAGGGATGCGTCCCCTATGGAAGCCAGAAACCTGATCGTGGGATGTTTGTTTGTTACTTAACGCCGCAGTCGGCAGTATTCCAGCTACATGACGGCGATATGTAAACACACGAGTCTAGACCGGATAATCCAGTGATAGATAGCATGTGGATCGATCATCTTAGTCAGCGCTACGACTCCGGAAAGCATTGCTTACTGCACATCGGTTCTAGCGCGGACCTCCACGAGAGATCGTGGGCTGCGTTCCAGTTAGACCTGGTAATATGTCTAGGTTTCCCAGCACCATTCCCATCCTGGCAGGGTTCACCACAGTGGTAGATTACTCATTCCTGCTTCACGGTGGGCTGTCCTCACACAGCAACAATCTTTGAAGACCGTAACACGATGCATGACGAGAGTTTCACGAGCGTCATCACACATGTATCTGTTCAGTCGCCACCAGCCACAGGGGATAACGTGCATGTAGAAACAAATGGTATTCCTCGATATCTACCGGAGGAACTGTAAGCTTGACGCAAGGGTTCTAAACATTTATCAGTGTTGAATTGTGGCTGACATAAGTGATGGAATACAGTGTTCCTCTGTTTGATCTTCGGGTCCCATTGGTTCTCTAAAGATATTAATGCCAACAAATCTGCAGAGCTCTCAGGACATAGGCAGATTGTTGGAATCGAGGTTGAAACTGCTACAAAATAGAATTGTTCTCAGAGAATAAAGAGATAACAAGTATTGTTCGACTGACATGGGAACATGTCGTAGCTGCTTCTCTTGTACATGGCTCCAAGGTCGCAGCTTGTATAGCCACCATATAGGCGTCATGTGGGAGACTTACATACATGGTTTACCTGACGATAATTAATTGACTCACTCTGAAATCATAGCTGATGCTTTTGTGCTTCGCAGCCGCTGTGTGGTCGTCGTTGAGGGAGTAGTCCCAGCTGCAGAACACGTTGCTGCAGAAGTCGTATCCTGAGTGATGATCCTCCACCACGTAATCCCACAAACCCTTAGCAGTACTGGGAAATGGCAAGTTACACAGATGTACTGAAACCCTTATAATTAGCAGTGCTGGGAAATGGCAAGTTACACAGATGTACTGAAACCCTTATAATTAGCAGTGCTGGGAAATGGCAAGTTACACAGATGTACTGAAACCCTTATAATTAGCAGTACTGGGAAATGGCAAGTTACACAGATGTACTGAAACCCTTATAATTAGCAGTGCTGGGAAATGGCAAGTTACACAGATGTACTGAAACCCTTATAATTAGCAGTGCTGGGAAATGGCAAGTTACACAGATGTACTGAAACCCTTATAATTAGCAGTGCAAGTAAACCCTTGGGAAATGGCAAAACCTTATTACACAGATGTACTGAAACCCTTATAATTAGCAGTGCTGGGAAATGGCAAGTTACACAGATGTACTGAAACCCTTATAATTAGCAGTGCTGGGAAATGGCAAGTTACACAGATGTACTGAAACCCTTATAATTAGCAGTGCTGGGAAATGGCAAGTTACACAGATGTACTGAAACCCTTATAATTAGCAGTGCTGGGAAATGGCAAGTTACACAGATGTACTGAAACCCTTAGCAGTACTGGGAAATGGCAAGTTACACAGATGTACTGAAACCCTTATAATTAGCAGTGCTGGGAAATGGCAAGTTACACAGATGTACTGAAACCCTTGCAGTAGCAGTGGAAATGGCAAGTTACACAGATGTACTGAAACCCTTATAATTAGCAGTGCTGGGAAATGGCAAGTTACACAGATGTACTGAAACCCTTATAATTAGCAGTGCTGGGAAATGGCAAGTTACACAGATGTACTGAAACCCTTATAATTAGCAGTACTGGGAAATGGCAAGTTACACAGATGTACTGAAACCCTTATAATTAGCAGTGCTGGGAAATGGCAAGTTACACAGATGTACTGAAACCCTTATAATTAGCAGTGCTGGGGAAATGGCAAGTTACACAGATGTACTGAAACCCTTATAATTAGCAGTGCTGGGAAATGGCAAGTTACACAGATGTACTGAAACCCTTATAATTAGCAGTGCTGGGAAATGGCAAGTTACACAGATGTACTGAAACCCTTATAATTAGCAGTGCTGGGAAATGGCAAGTTACACAGATGTACTGAAACCCTTATAATTAGCAGTGCTGGGGCAAATGGCAAGTTACACAGATGTACTGAAACCCCTTATAATTAGCAGTGCTGGGAAATGGCAAGTTACACAGATGTACTGAAACCCATATAATTAGCAGTGCTGGGAAATGGCAAGTTACACAGATGTACTGAAACCCTTATAATTAGCAGTGCTGGGAAATGGCAAGTTACACAGATGTACTGAAACCCTTATAATTAGCAGTACTGGGAAATGGCAAGTTACACAGATGTACTGAAACCCTTATAATTAGCAGTGCTGGGAAATGGCAAGTTACACAGATGTACTGAAACCCTTATAATTAGCAGTGCTGGGAAATGGCAAGTTACACAGATGTACTGAAACCCTTATAATTAGCAGTACTGGGAAATGGCAAGTTACACAGATGTACTGAAACCCTTATAATTAGCAGTGCTGGGAAATGGCAAGTTACACAGATGTACTGAAACCCTTATAATTAGCAGTGCTGGGAAATGGCAAGTTACACAGATGTACTGAAACCCTTAGCAGATGTAGTAAACTGGGAAATGGCAAGTTACACAGATGTACTGAAACCCATATAATTAGCAGTACTGGGAAATGGCAAGTTACACAGATGTACTGAAACCCTTATAATTAGCAGTACTGGGAAATGGCAAGTTACACAGATGTACTGAAACCCTTATGATTAGCAGTGCTGGGAAATGGCAAGTTACACAGATGTACTGAAACCCTTATAATTAGCAGTGCTGGGAAATGGCAAGTTACACAGATGTACTGAAACCCTTATAATTAGCAGTGCTGGGAAATGGCAAGTTACACAGATGTACTGAAACCCTTATAATTAGCAGTGCTGGGAAATGGCAAGTTACACAGATGTACTGAAACCCTTATAATTAGCAGTGCTGGGAAATGGCAAGTTACACAGATGTACTGAAACCCTTATAATTAGCAGTGCTGGGAAATGGCAAGTTACACAGATGTACTGCCCTTATAATTAGCAGTACTGGGAAATGGCAAGTTACACAGATGTACTGAAACCCTTATAATTAGCAGTGCTGGGAAATGGCAAGTTACACAGATGTACTGAAACCCTTATAATTAGCAGTGCTGGGAAATGGCAAGTTACACAGATGTACTGAAACCCATATAATTAGCAGTACTGGGAAATGGCAAGTTACAATAGATGTACTGGCAGTGCTGGGAAATGGCAAGTTACACAGATGTACTGAAACCCTTATAATTAGCACAGAGTACTGGGAAATGGCAAGTTACACAGATGTACTGAAACCCTTATAATTAGCATTACTGGGAAATGGCAAGTAACACAGAAGTATACAGATGTACAGTGGGAAACCCTTTACACAGAATTAGCAGTTAGCAGTGCTGGGAAATGGCAAGTTACACAGAACAAAGGGGTGATGTAACGGCGTGTGTGTGAGTGCGTGTGCGTGTGCGTGTGCGTGTGCGTGTGTGTGTGTGTGTGTGTGTGTGTGTGTGTGTGTGTGTGTGTGTGTGTGTGTGTGTGTATGTGTGTGTGCATCTGTGTGCGTATGTGTACTAGTCCGGAATAATACCGTCTTCATGATGGTAGTATAATGAGACACTATCCTCAATACGGATAATATGTACTGGCTCGTGCCGACCAGTCCTTGTTTGACATCAATAATCAGATGTTGAAAGATGTTTAACTCTGCGTGAAATTCTTTTCATACAAGACATATTTCCTTGTCTTATATATACGTTTAAAAACATCGGGTATATTCAGGACCTACTGCTGCATCCGGGTGAATATTGCACCCCAGCAGGTATTAAAGGATGGGGTCTGGGGGATGTCTTCGAACATACCACAACAATGGGGATATTTGCTCATAACATCAGTCATTGGTTTATATGATCCAGTCTCGAGTATTTACCGTTGTATAGGTGGAATAGTGATGAATGGACATTAATGAATGAACCCACAACGTACTATTTGGCCATGAGGAGAAGACTGATCACCAGACAGACGGCAGAGGTAATGAAGTAAGCCAGGGGTATGTTGTAGGGAAGGTTGAGTCGGTGCTCGTTCCTCGCAGGAACTGGGATCCCGAGTAGTAGCCGTAGAAGAGGTGTGTCTTCTCCATGTAGCCCTGGAACACACAACACACACCACGGATACACGCCAGTGCCTGCCTTCCCAATATGGCGACCTGGTAGTATAACGGTTAGTCTTACAGGTGCGATAAAGCTGGTTTCACAATCCGATATTTAAGCAAATGGGTTGAAGACCAGGAACTACTGTCAGTAAGCTCTGCAGACCATGGTATAACGTTCCCTAACTAGTGACTACCGGTTGTGTGAGTTCTAATGTAAACATGTAAATCTTCATAATCACTCACGCTATGTATTCTGGCACGGTTTTTAACGCCTCCTTTCGTCAGTAACAAAACGGCGTAAACTTCGATCATTTCAACAATGATCACATGATCATAGATTATTCACTTCAGGTACAATCGTAACTTAAATATGACATATTGTATATGATATACAATGCAACACAGCAGAGCATGTATGTATGTAGCCACCCGTCGGGATTCCGGATCACAAGACACACTACACCACCCGTAGTCCTGTTCAAGGTAATCTGGTGGTCATGAAAGTGGTACACGGGTCACCCGACGGGACACACACGGTCCAGGGGCTAGATTTTCGAAGCTCTCTTAGCACTAAGATAGTCGTAAGTCTATGTTAATGTATGACAATTACGACTATCTTAGCGCTAACAGAGCTTCGAAAATCTAGGCCCAGGACTCAAGTATTTAGAAGCCATTGACATAAAGGGCTGTCCACTCAATGGCAATATCAAGTTTCACAGCTAAACGCAGCTTGTATTGATCATTGGTGAGAGTAGTTTACACCGTTCTAAATGTATTCTAAAAGAGGTCAAACCGCCGAGGTACCTCAGACCCAAGGCCTTTGTCACCCCACTAACACTTACTATCAGGGTTACAGTGCCAACACACAACGTTTCAGTGTGGACATTAAGTAAGCACCACCTGAAGCCAGGGGTAATTTCATCTTTAATCCAAAATAAGCGATCATACCCAAGCATACTCAGATGCACATGTTTCACACAATATGTCAAAAGGTATGGGTACCGTGCTGACGTATTGCGAACATGCCAAACACATAGGAGTATTAATTTCAAAACTGCAGTATGCGCATTACAGCTTTCCGAACGGGTCTGAAAGACGGCGGTACTACAAATTAACCTTTCTTAATATGGCAAGACGTAGACTTTCAGGAACAGAATACACGCCGGCATTTATGGGCATGCATGACGCAGGGATGTCGTACCAACAACAACGATGCTAAGACCATTAACCACATTAGTCAAACAAGCGTGATCTCATCACAGTACCTGGGATACTCACTGGTCAGCGGCATCAACCGGAAGTACCGTCGTGCCTCATTTTGATAACCGTACCCTTGACAGTCCACGGTATTACTCCATGACAACGCTTGAAATAACGATTCTCGAGTAGTCACCGCACATTTGCAGATCAACGATATCGAAACATAGCCATGGCCCACAGGGAGCCCCGATATGAACCCCATCGAACATCTTTGGGACTATCCCTGACGCCAAGTTCGAGCAATAGATGCCCCTGTTCAAAATCTGCAGGAACTTAGGGAAGGCAGAGGATTCCGATGCTGAGAATTCAACATTTGATTGGAAGTATGTGGAGGAGACTGGCGTATGGGAGGGATGTACACCTGTAGCTGGCCGCCAGTGCTGCTCCATAACTGAGTGACAATCAGATTCCTGGCGTAGATCACCATACTTGCCGGTATTCACTTGAATATTCACTTTTTGAGTACTCTTGTCAGATTGCAAGTAAATTGTTACCAAATTTTAATTTCAGTTTTGGTTTGGTTTTAACCAGAGCCAAATATGTTACAATTACCATTTTAATGTACAGAAATTGGTTCCCAAAGCTTATTCATCAACATTTAGTGTTGATATATGTTGATATATGTTGATATATGTTGATATGTGGGTAGAGCGTGATGAAAGCTCACGAGTATAGCTGCAATATGAAGGACGTATTCTTAACGTGTACAGTGTTGCATAAATGCTATCAATCAAAAGGCAAACAGTTTTCAACGGCTCCTACAAAAGAGATAAATGGCCAATCTGTGTATTCAGCAAACGTTATCAGTCTCTGTGTACACCGATGATTTCTTGTAGTAGGTTGTTCATTGTTATTGACAACCCTTTATGTACTTAATGCAGCTTGAACAGGGACGAGAATATGTGACGCCTCGCGAGCAGGGTATGTCAGCGGCGAACAAATCGTCATTGAACTGGACCAGTAAGAGACCCAGCTCTATAGACATGACCGTGAACAATATATACTCAGTACAAACTGTTCAGCGCCACCCAATGCTTTAAACATTATTCACATTTGGAAAGACATATTACGAAAACTATAAAAGCGTTATAGAAAATAATTATAGAATGGATCAATGATTAATCTATTAGTAGTCGACAACAAACATGCATGTTGTTGATATATCACGAATACGGGTGTCGAGCGGGTATTTTAAGTTATGTCTGTGAGCAGACAAAAGAGTCACAGTGTGTAAAACAAGGTTGAATAAAAGTGAACCAGTGTTCCAGAAAGGTGCCTGTCACAATCAAGGTGTCCATGAACCAAAAGTCAGTCGGTGCGTAGGAACCGTGTGCATTGGGGACTACTGGCACCTTACGTTTCGTGCTGTGATTTAACATGTGGCCATCCCTGATAGAAAACAGTCACCGGTTCTTCTACAGTTTGAATAGACGGCTGTCGTTGATGGACGATACGTCCTAGAATGTCCCAGGCATGTCCAATGTGTTTGAGATCTGGACCGCCAGGTGACCACGGTAGAGTTGCCATGCCCTCCTGCTTATGAAACTCGACTACAGTCCTTGCTCTGTGAGGTTAGCGTTCTCTGCACAGATCCACCTTGCATACACATTCCTATATTTAGATGTGATAAACCTCTGGTGAAACCCTTGATGTCTTGCAATAGCCATGTGTGACATCCTGCCAACTGTCAAATATGCTCCAGCGTTCGGTTAAATATTTTTTTCGAAGTACAGACAGTAGAAAAACACGTTGAATACCACTGACACTTATAATACCACGTGACTTTCGTGCATCTAATAGAACGTTTACAGGTTGCACGTACAATGTATACTGCTGTAATCAGTGCGTGTAACATCAGTGACATACACTTATGATTCAGGTGGTGCTAAACGTTTTGTACTGAGTATACATTGCACATACTATATGTAGCTAACTGACCGTTCCCTGGAAAACATGCAGCATGAACTGCACAAGGTCTGTTGTGGGTGCCTCCTTGTAGGACTGTGTGCAGGTGTACGCCTGTGCTACTCCAGGCTCGGTGCTGCTGGCGCTGTAGTCGATGGAGGGCTGCAGGATGGTGGGCACCGTGATGAAACCAAACATCAGAAGGAACAGAAGAACGTTCAGTCCGAACATCCACCTCAGAAATACGAAATAGGATAACACGCCCGTACCATGGTGACCTTTGAACCAGAAAGTTATAGGATAATACTCATTACTAATACATAACTAATACATAATTCAAACAGTAAATTAAGCAGATTTGAAATGATGGTTGTATTTTGTATTATCAACAACGATCTATATAGAGTTTGCCACAAAATTAATCAAGGTCTGTGTGTTCTTATCGGAGACAATTGCATATTTATACAATGTGAAAAATACATAAACATAGAACCGTATCACTTCAGGCAATGATAAACAACCTTAGACAGTTGTATCGCGCTGTTTGAAATGTTGATAAAAGAGCAGACTCGATTGTTCTCCAAGAGTTGTGAAATGTAGATACCAAAAGCTTGACCATTGGCAGACACCCTTCTCACATAGTCCTGTGCAGCACAGTTTTTCACATTGAATCTCTGTGCACAGATAAGGCAGTCTCACTGGTCTCCTTAATTTCCATTTCAGATCGATAAATCAGAGGAAAGGGATTGTTTTTTAAGCCTAGTAAACGAGTATAAGCTTAACTTCTTGGACTCTACCAATCTGAGGTGAAATTCCGAAGCAAATGCATATGCAGAGCTGGTGCCCGCGGGGTGCCTACTTCTTCCCTTAATGTCCTACCCTAACATTTTACCATAAAGTCAATAGTTACGTCCAGCATTGCACATTGTTCTCTCACTAGATTTCATATGACAAGTATTATTGCTGGAAAGTTGCTGTGGTTGGAGGTGTTATAATTGTGGTTCCCTACAACAGACACACATATAATATGAAGGCCTACCTTCTATGCGACGAAATGAGCTGCCCCAAAACTCAATGGCGCTGATGGCTTCCTTTGCTTTCATGTTGAACTTTTGTCTTGACTGTTTGGGTTGGAAAAATATGATACGGCTTATATCATGCTAAATGTTGATTAGACATATTTGGACTATTATTTCTGAATTAAACTGTAGTACCTTGAATCGGTATGGCTGACTGGCCTATCTATACAAGTAGTAAAGCCAAGAGATATACGCGTGACAAGCCAAGAGGTGCACATCACAAGCCAAGAGGTGCACATCACAAGCCAAGAGGTGCACATCACAAGCCAAGCCAGAGGTGCACATCACAAGCCAAGAGGTGCACATCACAAGCCAAGAGGTGCACATCACAAGCCAAGAGGTGCATATCACAAGTGAGGTGCAAGAAGAGTTACACAAGAGGTGCACAACACAAGCCAAGAGGTGCACATCACAAACCAAGGTGCACATCACAAGCCAAGAGGTGCACATCACAAGCCAAGAGGTGCACAACACAAGCCAAGAGGTGCAGGAGGTGCACATCACAGCCAAGCCAGGTGCACATCACAAGCCAAGCCAGGTGCACATCACAAACACAAGAGAGTTACACATCACAAGCCAAGAGGTGCACATCATACACATCCAAGCCAAGAGGTGCACATCACAAAGGTGCACAACAAGCCAAGAGGTGCACATCACAAGCCAAGAGGTGCACACAAAGAGTTACACATCACAAGCCAAGAGGTGCACATCACAAGCCAAGAGGTGCACATCACAAGCCAAGAGGTGCACAAGGGTTACAACAAGCCAAGAGGTACACATCACAAGCCAAGAGGTGCACATCACAAGCCAAGAGTTACACATCACAAGCCAGGTGCACATCACAAGCCAAGAGGTGCACATCACAAGCCAAGAGTTACACATCACAAGCCAAGAGGTGCACATCACAAGCCAAGAGGTGCACAAGCCAAGAGGTAACACATCACAAGCCAAGGTGAGGTGCACATCACAAGAGCCAAAGAGGTGCACATCACAAGCCAAGAGGTGCACATCACAAGCCAAGAGGTGCACATCACAAGCCAAGAGGTACACATCACAAGCCAAGAGGTGCACATCACAAGCCAAGAGGTGCACATCACAAGCCAAGAGGTGCACATCACAAGCCAAGAGTTACACATCACAAGCCAAGAGGTGCACATCACAAGCCAAGAGGTGCACATCACAAGCCAAGAGGTGCACATCACAAGCCAAGAGGTGCACATCACAAGCCAAGAGGTGCACATCACAAGAGGTGCCAAGAAGAGGTGCACATCACAAGCCAAGAGGTATCACAAGCCACACATCACAAGCCAAGAGGTACACACAAGCACAAGCCAAGAGGTGCCAAGAGGTGCACATCACAAGCCAAGAGGTACACAGCACAAGACAAGAGTTACACATTATATGCAGCGTTAGTCATTATGGGTTCACCCGAGCCTGTCAGCGCGGGTATGTGCAGCTTCAGTTAGGTATCCTCAGTATCGGTCTGCATGATGAGTACAAGTGCCCTCTGATATCTGCAGTTACCTACCCTGGCCAAGCTGTACCTCCAGGACTCACATGTAGACAGCCCCACCGACCCCGAGCACAGCTCATCTCTAAAGATAAGGAAAAGATAGAAACATTTGAAATAACCGTTTAGGGTTACTTTCAATAATACTTGTTGTGGAAATACACGTATTGTTACAGACATGAAAACACTGTAAGGTTTGTTTGCTTTCTGAGGGGCCGTCAAGTGAGGAGTAACTCTCTACGTTCACTTGTCTTAAAGCATACTTCGTTAAACAAGTAAACCTGTCTTAAAGCATACTTCCTTAAACAAGTAAACCTGTCTTAAAGCATACTTCGTTAAACAAGTAAACCTGTCTTAAAGCATACTTCGTTAAACAAGTAAACCTGTCTTAAAGCATCCTTCGTTAAACAAGTAAACCTGTCTTAAAGCATACTTCGTTAAACGAGTAAACCTGTCTTAAAGTATACTTCGTTAAACGAGTAAACTTGTCTTAAAGCATCCTTCGTTAAACAAGTAAACCTGTCTTAAAGCATACTTCGTTAAACGAGTAAACTTGTCTTAAAGCATACTTCGTTAAACAAGTAAACCTGTCTTAAAATATACTTCGTTAAACGAGTAAACCTGTCTTAAAGCATACTTCGTTAAACGAGTAAACCTTAAACAAAACCTGTCTTAAAGCATACTTCGTTAAACGAGTAAACCTGTCTTAAAGCATACGTTAAACTTCTTAAAGCATTTCGTTAAACAAGGAAAGCATGCTGTCTTCTTAAAGAAACTTCTCTTTAAGCATCCTTTTTTCCAAGTAATGGTTAACAGTATATCTGAAAGAAAGTAGATGACCAAAAAAGTCTGCTTTGACGGTGTAGACGGGTCAAGGCCACGGAAGGGGCGGTAGGCTCGTATACCAGTCATACCAAGTCGTCAAACTACTGTTCCGTCTGCTGATGGCGTGCCCTAGTGCTGTAGCCGTCATGAGTCTGCTCCGGAAGTGGATCTGCCGGATGTAGCCGGATCTTCGGCTGGTGTCGTGACTCTTGGTCTTCCCGATCTCTGGCGGTCTTGGGTCTGGCCTGTTTGCTGGTAGTGCCTTGGCTGCGGTTGAAGGTTCTTGCCAACTGACGCTGTATTGGCCACACCGATCGCCCTGTCTCGTTGCGCTTACGTACGTTTTGGCATATTGGTGGTGTTTTTTGCTACTGCATGCTTGCTTTGTCCAACATTTACATTTATGCCACAATCATTTTCACGTTTTGGAAAATGCAGGCTTCGTACGACGTTTTCACACATCTGCAATGTTATCGGTACCATGTTGCGTTTTGGCGAATTTTTTCTGCTTTGGGTTCAAACCTGTGCCAGCGTTTTTGTTTTTATACAATTACTTAAAAATTAATAACTTTCTTTTGCTGGGTAGTTTACTTGTCGCTATCCCCAAGCGGAAAAAGAGTCGTATTATTTTCAGGTTAATGTTTATTCATTGAGGTATTTTTCAACTAATCCATATACATCACAGCGTGAGTGGACCTACTGCCAACGTAACTTTGTTCATCTCCTCTGTGTCACTCACTTCTTTTCATAAATTCTCCTAATAAAGTACACCGTCCGTCCTTCCGAAACTCAATAACAGTAGACACGTCCCTTTTCACAACAGACCTTCATTAATGCCTATAAACTTCATCATCATTAGGTTCAGGTAAAAGTGAAACAGTCTTAATCTGCTTGAAAAGATGAACAGATCTATCTTATTTTTTGAATGAATTTGTTGCAGCTTAATTTCTCAGTTTCAATTTCTGATTGCAAAACAACCGATTTTCTAATGTTTTGCCACATCGACCAATTCAGGCATAATGAGCAAAGAGACTTGGCTCACAAGCCAAACTTCAATAAACATCATGGTTGTTATTGGCTTCACACAATATTACACAAGGAAATGTTAATCTAATTTGATTTAACTTAATTAACGAGCCAACAATTTCTTTCTCGTGTCGATTTCTAATTTGAAACAATAAGTTAACCAATGCAGAAGTGTGTGGGAATATAATTACTGCAAAGTAATTACAGCACACAGAAGAGTGACAGAGGAATATATACTTGCATAAAGAAGTCTAGTTGTTAACAAAGTAATTACAGCACACAGTAGAGTGGCAGAGGAATATATACTTGCTATAAAGTAGTCTAGTTGTTAACAAAGAGATCAAACTTTAACAGCAGAGATCAAGATATAACAACAGAGATCAAGATATAACAACAGAGACCAAGATATAACAACAAAGATCAAGATATAACAACAGAGGCCAAGCTTTAACAACAGAGGTCAAGCTTTTCAAGCAACAACAGAGGTCAGCTAGAGCAGAGGTCAAGTTAGGAATATAGACTTGATATAAAGTAGGTCTAACTTGAGGTTAAACAAAACAATATAACAGCAGAGGTCAAACTTTAACAACAGAGGGCAAGATATAACAACAGAGATCAAGATATAACAACAGAGGTCAAGCTATTAACAACAGAGATCAATATATAACAGCACATCAAGATCTAGCAACAGAGATCAAGATATATAACATACTTCAAGTATAAAGTAGTCAAGCTATAACAACAGAGATCAAGATATAACAACAGAGATCAAGATATAACAACAGAGAGTCAAGCTATAACAACAGAGATCAAGATATAACAACAGAGGTCAAGCTATAACAACAGAGATCAAGATATAACAACAGAGATCAAGATCTAACAACAGAGATCAAGATATAACAACAGAGATCAAGTATAACAGTCTAGTTGTTAACAAAGAGATCAATTACGTAACAACAGTGATAATATTCACCTAGGTCAAGCTTTAACAACAGAGATCAAGATATAACAACAAAGGTCAAGATATAACAAAAGAGGTCAAGATATAACAACAGAGGTCAAGATATAACAACAGAGATCAAGCTATAACAACAGAGATCAAGATATAACAACAGAGATCAAGATATAACAACAGAGGTCAAGCTTTAACAATAGAGATCAAGATATAACAACAGAGATCAAGCTTTAACAACAGAGATCAAGATATAACAACAGAGGTCAAGATATAACAACAGAGGTCAAGATATAACAACAGAGGTCAAGATTTAACAACAAAGATCAAGCTATAACAACAACAGAGACCCCAAACTTAACAGCAGAGGCGGGATATCAAGGGTAGAGACAAGGTTACGATCCTTCTACAATGTATTTAGTCTGTGCGTATGTGAGGCAAGCACATGCATGTCATTTCTCATATTATATCAACACAAGCTGTCTGTGAAGATCACTATTTTCACCACGGATATCCAGGGTCTTTGGAAAACTACCGCATTAAGTGTACCGCCAGTGTATATATAATTACTGCAAAATAATTACAGCACACAATAGTGTGGCAGAGGAATATATAGTTCTGGTAACTGATTATTTCAACTAGGAAATGCACGGAATGAACCAGTATGGCTGTTTACTCTGATCAAGACAGAAAGACTAACTTGAGCTTTATCTTCAGTCTCACGGGAATGGGGCGTGATCTTATTGTCTCAATGAGCTGTTGGTCATTGTGAATGGTATCCAGATGTATTCCACTGGACTCAGCGAGTTTCTGCTTCTCTACATCGGACGTCTTAGCTGTCTCGGGGGAAATCTTTACCTTTCCCATCGAGACCTTTATTCTTCAGACAAACATAAAATTCCATGTTTCAGTGTTTAGGACATTAGATAAACATATTATAATTATCCTATAAAGTCTTTCGCTTCGGTAAAGATACTCTGAGGAACATGTGGAGACACAAACAATCACCCAACCTTGTTATAATGTAGAAAATAGCTTCCTCGCCTTAAACATTTAATTTCATATACAATTGATTTGTGAAACGTTTGAAATGTAATTTTAGTTTAGAAATGCAAAAAGAGAGCCATGTTTCCTACCTGCAGATATATCAGGGTATGTGAGGTTCGTGACTGCCACCTCTATGGAGTTTCCCACCCGAGTGTACGTGGGTAGCAGCTACATGACGTCACAGAGTACGGCTGTCCGCTCCCCACACAATGTCCCTGCACTGACAGCCGAGAACACATTTCCAAGAAGTCCTGTTCAATGAATTCAAGTTTATTTCGACTAACGGAGAATAGGCTGGCGCTGTAGAGTTGAATACATACAATTAATGGACAGTTATGCAAAGGCGCGTTACTAGCTGACTACGCGTGTAAACAGACAGAACAGGAAGACGTTACCTGACGTGGTAGCCAATATGCGTGCAACAGAGTTGTGACCTTCAGGATTATACTGAGAAGGTATTGCTTCTGTTCAGTGTTGTGAAATCACTTGAACGAGAAAGGTGTAAACAACATTGTCATCTTCTATGACTTATTGCGAAGGAGTATTGATGATAAAAAATACTGCATATATTGAAACGATAATTGAGGTCCGCAGGTTGTCTGAACAGTGGTGTGTTAGTGAACAAGTCTGTGAGTTAGTGAGTGAGAATTCTATCCCTTCACTCGTCATTTACGACAACCATCAATTGCCAGTCATCGGGTATAACCACTGATTATACAGCACGTCACATGTCACTTGCTTTAGACACAACTGGTTTTATAACCGAGCAGAAGGTTACGTGTTTTGTATCGGATTGAGAAAATGATTGTTGCACTTGTATGTTGTAGATTGGTTTACGCCGCTCTCAACATTCGGTCTGTAAATAATGAAGTGTGATTCAGACAATCTTGTGACAGACATCTTAAGCATCATTCTAAACAATTGTCATTATTGTGACCACCCTTATGTGACCACCCTTATGTGACCACCCTTATGTGACCACCCGAGTCTGACCTCCCGAGGCTGAACACCCGATCCTTTTTATAACCACTTACGACAATCATGGGTTGCTGAGGGCAATTTTCTTATCGATTCTTATTGGTAGAAGAAATGTAACAACAACAGACTTTGACTGTAGATTTATTCTTCACTAACAGACAGAATGTGAACATCACCAACACTGGGGTAACACAGATAAACCCCGTGGAATAACAGTAAAACAGATGACCACTCCACATATGGTGTGGGACAGTAGGAAGTCACATCCCACTGAGAGGCGCTTCGCTGGAACTGTCATTACTATCACTGAGTACAGTGATCGAGGACATTTTCCCTGTGGAATCTGAAACAGCATCTCTCAGCTGCTTCTCTGAGAAGTTCAGTGACTCAGGTGAAAGTGTCTTGTCACAAGGAGTTTGGAATGGAGGATGAAGGCAGATGAAGATATCCTGTGCATCAATGCTGTCCTGGCTCCGGGCTGGCTCCGAGCTGGCTCCTCCTCCTGGCTCCGACCCCACATACAGAATATACTGTTAATTGTTTATCCTATATGTACACGTTCTTTACATACATATCTTATACGTGAACAAAAATCATAATATTCGCATGTCTGTTTTAAACTAAGAAATTTACAAATATTCTCATTCTAGATGTCGACTAATCATGCAGACTGGAACATTCTGTGTTGTGACATTGATTGCTATCACAAGCCTGATGTCACCGTGATGCCCTCAAATAGACGTCTGGAAGTCTTGCAATAAATACATAGGACGGATACCATTGTAGAACACACAGGTAGAAGCCTATCACGGTGCAGACCATTGTACAACACACAGGTAGAAGCCTATCACAGTACATTGTACAACACACAGGTAGAAGCCTATCACAGTACATTGTACAACACACAGGTAGAAGCCTATCACAGTACAGACCAGTTGTACAACACACGGGTAGAAGCCTATCACAGTACATTGTACAACACACAGGTAGAAGCCTATCACAGTACATTGTACAACACACAGGTAGAAGCCTATCACAGTACAGACCATTGTACAACACACAGGTAGAAGCCTATCACAGTACATTGTGCAACACACATCACAGACATTGGTAGAAGCCTATCACAGTACATTGTGCAACACACAGGTAGAAGCCTATCACAGTACAGACCATTGTACAACACACAGGTAGAAGCCTATCACAGTACAGACCATTGTGCAACACACAGGTAGAAGCCTATCACAGTACAGACCATTGTACAACACACAGGTAGAAGCCTATCACAGTACATTGTACAACACACGGGTAGAAGCCTATCACAGTACATTGTACAACACACAGGTAGAAGCCTATCACAGTACAGATCGTTGTACAACACACGGGTAGAAGCCTAACTGCTTAATACTGGGTATGGCAGGATACTTAATCATCTCGAGGCAAACGAGTGACCTTGTAACAGTGATCAGATAACAGAGTGATTAGGTAACAGAGTGATCAGGGAACAGAGTGATCAGGGAACAGAGTGATCGGGGAACAGAGTGATTAGGGAACAGAGTGATTAGGTAACAGAGTGATCGGGGAACAGAGTGACCAGGGAACAATGACATCAGGTAACAGTGTGATCAGGGAATAGAGTGATCAGGTAACAGTGTGATCAGGGAACAGAGTGATCAGGTAACAGTGTGATCAGGGAATAGAGTGATCGGGTAACAGTGTGATCAGGGAACAGAGTGATCAGGTAACAGGGTGATCAGGTAACAGTGTGATCAGGGAACAGAATGATCAGGGAAAAGAGTGATCAGGGAACAGGGTGATCAGGTAACAGAGTGACCAGGGAACAGAGTGCTCAGGTAACAGGGTGACCAGGTAACAGGGTGACCAGGGAACAGAGTGATCAGGTAACAGTGTGATCAGGGAACAGAGTGATCAGGTAACAGGGTGACCAGGGAACAGAGTGATCAGGGAACAGGGTGACCAGGGAACAGAGTGATCAGGGAACAGGGTGACCAGGAACAGAGTGATCAGGAACAGGGTGACCAGGGAACAGAGTGATCAGGAACAGGTGATCAGGTAACAGTGTGATCAGGGAACAGAGTGATCAGGGAACAGGGTGATCAGGTAACGGGGTGATCAGGGAACAGAGTGATCAGGTAACAGGGTGACCAGGGAACAGAGTGATCAGGGAACAGGGTGACCAGGGAACAGAGTGATCAGGTAGCAGGGTGACCAGGGAACAGAGTGATCAGGGAACAGGGTGACCAGGGAACAGAGTGATCAGGGAACAGGGTGATCAGGTAACAGGGTGATCAGGTAACAGTGTGATCAGGGAACAGAGTGATCAGGTGACAGGGTGACCAGGGAACAGAGTGATCAGGGAACAGGGTGATCAGGTAACAGTGTGACCAGGGAACAGAGTGATCAGGTAACAGGGTGACCAGGGAACAGAGTGATCAGGTAACAGGGTGACCAGGGAACAGAGTGATCAGGGAACAGGGTGACCAGGGAACAGCGTGATCAGGGAACAGGGTGACCAGGGAACAGAGTGATCAGGGAACAGGGTGACCAGGGAACAGAGTGATCAGGGAACAGGGTGATCAGGTAACAGTGTGATCAGGGAACAGGGTGATCAGGTAACAGTGTGATCAGGGAACAGAGTGATCAGGGAACAGGGTGATCAGGGAACAGAGTGATCAGGGAACAGGGTGATCAGGGAACAGGGTGATCAGGGAACAGGGTGATCAGGGAACAGAGTGATCAGGTAACAGTGTGATCAGGTAACAGTGTGATCAGGGAACAGAGTGATCAGGGAACAGAGTGATCAGGGAACAGAGTCATCAGGGAACAGGGTGATCAGGGAACAGAGTTTCCAGGTAATACGGTGATCAGGGAACAATGACATCAGGGAACAGAGGGATAGAGTAACAGGTTGGCCATCGGAAATAGATTGTGCAAGTAACAGGCTGATGAGACAACAGACAGGTAAGATGCTGATCATATAACATATCAACGAGGTCATACATGAAGCTGACAGGTAACAGATTGATCACTCCAACATAAACAAACAACAACAACCGTGTAAGTATAAAACTAAAGACGATCACACTAATATTTGAAATAGGGAACTATGAGTCCCGTATCCCTGTCCGTCACATACATTGACAGATACAATATACGTTTAGTTTACTTCTTTGCTCTTAAGAGGGTATTTGTTTCATATTTTATTTCCATGTTTATTAATATTCCATATTTGTTGTTTAACGTTTATGTCTGTCTATTGTTTCCAAGTTTAACGTTTCCGTTTAACATCATATGTCTGTGTTTCCTGACGTTTCATGTCTATTGTTTCAAGTTTAATGTGTAATGTCTGTTTTTCCTGTTATTGTTTCATGTTTAATGTGTACCTGTCATTGTTTCATGATTAATGTACCTATTTTGTTTCCTGTCTATTGTTTCATGACGTTTGTTAACGATTAAATGTACTGTCTATTGTTTCATGATTATGTTTATGATTAATGTACCTGTCTATTGTTTCATGATTAATGTACCTTAATGTGCCTGTCTAGCCTATTGTTTCATGTCCTAAGATTACCTATTGTTTCATGTTTTATGTTTGTTTTCCATGTTCAATGTTTCCAGAGCAAGTAACAAGGTCGTAGAGTGACATTTTTACGTTTCTGGTTAGAAACTCTTATCTGATCATAAACAGAAACAACAATGTTTTCGATGTAGTTATGACGAGCGGTTATACCTCACTCACATACTGTGTATGAGAAGGTAACATATGTTCTGTAGATTAATTAACATCACAAGGTGGTAGAAGTCAACTACCTGACTGGGCAAGCAGTGATATGGACACAATAGTCATGTATTGGCACAGTGAGGATGAAAGGATCACGTTATCACAGGGTGCGCGGAGATACTGAGACAGGTGACTTCTGATGGCCACTGTAGTTTACCAGTCGTCTGAGGGCTGATTAGGGTGCGAAGACCGGCCATTGCTTTGTTGGGGTGGTATCTGGAGCCGTGTATCCGAACGCTGGCTGTCGTTGGTGTGAGGCTTTCTCTTGCTGCCGGAATCAGGTCTCCGGCTGGCCCCACGGGGAGTCCTGCGTCCCTTCAGGAACGGCGTTGTCTCCCCCGTCAACTCCTGCAGCCGGGACAGAAGGAACCGCTTGTCCTGCCCTTCCTGCACAATGGGGTGGATTGCATAGGTTAAAACACACTCGGACTTCTAAGCTATATAATGCATGGCAGTATTTATGTGGCTATATACAACTAATATAGTTCGCCAGGTAATGAAGTGCAGCCCCTATATTGCACACTGGTTCGACATATTCGCCAGTGTGTTTCAGGTTATTTTAGTCTCAAGTGTGACTTCTTGGTATTGTACATAACAAAACGTTGCCTCTATAAATCTTATTATAAATGTGTAAAATATTAACAAGCTACAGATTCAGAGTCAGAAATGTACCACTGTAATATTCATTTGTTGGGGTGAATATGTTTGAAATTGGACAGGTCTTCTATGGACAGTGGTGGAATTTTAAAAAACGGCACATTCTGACGCTTGCACCTAAAGGAGGTATTTAACGACACTTTGACTGGCGTAAAGATCTAATCCTTGACAGACAATGTGCTGCTGGTATTGTTGTGATCAGACTACATGTTACTGTCTGGGGATTAATTGAGTAGAGTCGGCCATGTTTCGGCTGTCGGAGTTCAACTACTTACTAGTACAGAACCATGCATTGTATGAATATTCTATTACATACCGGCTTGTAATATGGAGAAACGACTTTCACATTGTGTGAGTTTGAAAGCTCCGGTGTTCATACAGTTTGGCCCACCCTCTATGAATATTCATGATCAATGAACTCACACAAAGTAAAAGTAAATGTCCTTTATTTGCAAATTTTAAGGAGTTGGGGTAGCCTAGTTGTTAAAGCGTTCGCTCGGGTTCGATTCCCCACATGGGTTCAATGTTAGAAACACATTTCTGTGTCTGATGTTTCATTAATTGTCGCTGCCTCTTGTGCCCGGAATTGATTTCCCCGTAAACCTACAAGTATTATAGCTGACTGAGAGCTGTAAAGTGAAATCAGGCCGTGAAATCTGTTGCAGTTACAGTTACAAGTACCTGTGTATATTGATATTTATATCGACAGGCCACCTGTTGTCTGGGTGTGTCAACAGGTACTACAACAAGCTCCTCATAACAGCTGGTCCAGGTAACATGCCTTAGTGTACATCAGTCAGTGCCGATTGTGTTGAGTTGTACAACAACAACACATTGTTCCACGGTCATCCCACCTATATTTTGACTTCAGTCAACAATCAGTAGTTTTCATGCTATATCTTTCAGTTTCTATACGTTTACATCTTGCACTGACGGACTGATATCTGATTGTCAACAATATAGATGGTAGGATCTACATTGCTGCTTCCAGAGACTCTTGGTTACAGCTTTCCGTCCACATGAATGATAAATTGAATAAACAATATTATACTTTTCTGTTATTACAATGTGAATAAATGAGTCCCAGACTCGCGTACAGTTATTTAAGTGGAATATATGAGCAATTATAACGTTATCACTTACTTCTAAACACGAGTTTGTAATAAGTGAACTTTGATATTGTGACCATTCAAGTTTTATCGGGTGGGGTGTTTGTTCATATGGAATGACTTCTGAATGTGAGAAGCTACACGGAAACCCGACTTGGGTTCGCCATGATTTAATCCACTTGATCTTTAACTTATACAGAAATATTTCGATTTACCCTACCTGTTCTGGTTTGGGGTTTCTGACTTACAAATGTTTCAAACATTCGGCAACGTGATGTACACATTAGCTTGTGGGAGTGGTATTAACGTGGCTCATCACCAGGTTTAAGGGTAAAGGTTTGATGATTCATGTTATGGGTGTGTACTTACAGCTTTAAGCTGGAGCCTCATTGTCTTTGTCTTCTCAATGTGAGCTCCCTTCAGCGCGGAACAGTAATACACCAGCAGGCTGGAAGGGAACATAAACATTGTATACACACCGGTATGTTTCAATAATCTGCTTTGTTTAAATGATGGGACTAACAACTCACCACAATGTCGACTGGAAACAGGTGCCGGGTGTTTGACCTAACTAATGACTCCTGGGACGAGTTGCACCTATGTACCCCATTCAAGTACAGTCGTTAAACTGTTGAAAGCGGGGTGGTGAGTTGACGTGTGGGTTATCGTCTCGTTCTGTACTGAAGTGCACGTGTTTGTGTGTCCAGTTGCACTAATCCGGACTTTATCAGGGATTTATCAACCCAGCAGTCATTATAATATCCGCATAATGCCAGGGTTATTTCATGTGTAATCGTTTCAAGGTCTTTTGGTGAGACCCGGGCATCGACCAACCAGCCTCCCGCTCTCCACACGTTTATCCACCACAGAACGGGGAAACAATGAGATTGCTGATTGGTCATAGTCCACGTTATTAAACATTAATAAACGTCATTGCATATTTTGACCTAAACCAAGAATAAGAAATTAAGCTGCAACAAACTGTCTTACCACAACAGTATTATGATTGACGCCGTGACGGCAGCAGACGTTGCTATAGATGCGGAACGGACCATCCCTTGTAACCAATCTGTAGTATCACGTGTTTCTATAGGTATATCAGTAACCTGTAGCACATCATGTTTCTATAGGTATATCAGTAACCTGTAGCACATCATGTTTCTATAGGTATATCAGTAACCTGTAGCACATCATGTTTCTATATAGGTATATCAGTAACCTGTAGCACATCATGTTTCTATAGGTATATCAGTAACCTGTAGCACATCATGTTTCTATAGGTATATCAGTAACCTGTAGCACATCATGTTTCTATAGGTATATCAGTAACCTGTAGCATCATCATCTATAGGTACATCAGTAACCTGTATTGTTTCTATAGGTATATCAGTAACCTGTAGCACATCATGTTTCTATAGGTATATCAGTAACCTGTAGCACATCATGTTTCTATAGGTATATCAGTAACCTGTAGCACATCATGTTTCTATAGGTATATCAGTAACCTGTAGCACATCATGTTTCTATAGGTATATCAGTAACCTGTAGCACATCATGTTTCTATAGGTATATCAGTAACCTGTAGCACATCATGTTTCTATAGGTATATCAGTAACCTGTAGCACATCATGTTTCTATAGGTATATCAGTAACCTGTAGCACATCATGTTTCTATAGGTATATCAGTAACCTGTAGCACATCATGTTTCTATAGGTATATCAGTAACCTGTAGCACATCATGTTTCTATAGGTATATCAGTAACCTGTAGCACATCATGTTTCTATAGGTATATCAGTAACCTGTAGCACATCATGTTTCTATAGGTATATCATCAGTAACCTGTAGCACATCATGTTTCTATAGGTATATCAGTAACCTGTAGCACATCATGTTTCTATAGGTATATCAGTAACCTGTAGCACATCATGTTTCTATAGGTATATCAGTAACCTGTAGCACATCATGTTTCTGTAGCATCATGTTTCTATAGGTATATCAGTCAGTAACCTGTAGCATCAACCTGTTCTATCATGTTTCTATAGGTATATCAGTAACCTGTAGCACATCATGTTTCTATAGGTATATCAGTAACCTGTAGCACATCATGTTTCTATAGGTATATCAGTAACCTGTAGCACATCATGTTTCTATAGGTATATCAGTAACCATGTAGCACATCATGTTTCTATAGGTATATCAGTAACCTGTAGCACATCATGTTTCTATAGGTATATCAGTAACCCTGTAGCACATCATGTTTCTATAGGTATAGGTATATCAGTAACCTGTAGCACACATCATGTTTCTATAGGTATATCAGTAACCTGTAGCACATCATGTTTCTATAGGTATATCAGTAACCTGTAGCACATCATGTTTCTATATAGGTATATCAGTAACCTGTAGCACATCATGTTTCTATAGGTATATCAGTAACCTGTAGCACATCATGTTTCTATAGGTATATCAGTAACCTGTAGCACATCATGTTTCTATAGGTATATCAGTAACCTGTAGCACATCATGTTTCTATAGGTATATCAGTAACCTGTAGCACATCATGTTTCTATAGGTATATCATCATGTTTCTATAGGTATATCAGTAACCTGTAGCACATCATGTTTCTATAGGTATATCAGTAACCTGTAGCACATCATGTTTCTATATCAGGCATCATCAGGTAACCTGTAACCTGTAGCACATCATGTTTCTATAGGTATATCAGTAACCTGTAGCACATCATGTTTCTATAGGTATATCAGTAACAGCACATCATGTTTCTATAGGTATATCAGTAACCTGTAGCACATCATGTTTCTATAGGTATATCAGTAACCTGTAGCACATCATGTTTCTATAGGTATATCAGTAACCTGTAGCACATCATGTTTCTATAGGTATATCAGTAACCTGTAGCACCTATAGGTATATCAGTAACCTGTATCACATCATGTTTCTATAGGTATATCAGTAACCTGTAGCACATCATGTTTCTATAGGTATATCAGTAACCTGTAGCACATCATGTTTCTATAGGTATATCAGTAACCTGTAGCACATCATGTTTCTATAGGTATATCAGTAACCTGTAGCACATCATGTTTCTATAGGTATATCAGTAACCTGTAGCACATCATGTTTCTATAGGTATATCAGTAACCTGTAGCACATCATGTTTCTATAGGTATATCAGTAACCTGTAGCACATCATGTTTCTATAGGTATATCAGTAACCTGTAACACATCATGTTTCTATAGGTATATCAGTAACCTGTAGCACATCATGTTTCTATAGGTATATCAGTAACCTGTAGCACATCATGTTTCTATAGGTATATCAGTAACCTGTAGCACATCATGTTTCTATAGGTATATCAGTAACCTGTAGCACATCATGTTTCTATAGGTATATCAGTAACCTGTAGCACATCATGTTTCTATAGGTATATCAGTAACCTGTAGCACATCATGTTTCTATAGGTATATCAGTAACCTGTAGCACATCATGTTTCTATAGGTATATCAGTAACCTGTAGCACATCATGTTTCTATAGGTATATATATCAGTAACCTGTAGCACATCATGTTTCTATAGGTATATCAGTAACCTGTAGCACATCATGTTTCTATAGGTATATCAGTAACCTGTAGCACATCATGTTTCTATAGGTATATCAGTAACCTGTAGCACATCATGTTTCTATAGGTATATCAGTAACCTGTAGCACATCATGTTTCTATAGGTATATCAGTAACCTGTAGCACATCATGTTTCTATAGGTATATCAGTAACCTGTAGCACATCATGTTTCTATAGGTATATCAGTAACCTGTAGCACATCATGTTTCTATAGTAACCTAACCTGTAGCACATCATGTTTCTATAGGTATATCAGTAACCTGTAGCACATCATGTTTCTATAGGTATATCAGTAACCTGTAGCACATCATGTTTCTATAGGTATATCAGTAACCTGTAGCACATCATGTTTCTATAGGTATATCAGTAACCTGTAGCACATCATGTTTCTATAGGTATATCAGTAACCTGTAGCACATCATGGTATATCTATAGACATCATGTTTCTATAGTAACCTGTAGCACATCATGTTTCTATAGGTATATCAGTAGTAACCTGCAGCACATCATGTTTCTATAGGTATATCAGTAACCTGTAGCACATCATGTTTCTATAGGTATATCAGTAACCTCATGTAGGTATATCATGTTTCTCATGTTTCTATAGGATATATCAGGTAACCTGTAGCACATCAGCCATCTGTTTTATCCCTGCTGACCATCTGACACTGAACCACCCAGCCATTGTTTTATCCCACTGACCTCGAAGGTCAGGCAGGGTAACACCAAGTACCATGATTACACGTATATTTGAAGGACGCGACCAGGGAATCGAACCGCCGGTCTTCCAATCTCCGGGATAGACGCTCTATCCACTACACCACATATGTGATCTATACTCAAGCGGGAGGTAGGTTTTACTGTCCGAACATTGTTTCAAACATAAATCAGGCCGTATATTCGATTCTAACACAACTCCAGCCGATCCTGGTGGCAACAGGGACAGCAACTCTGAGTCGCACTACCCAGTAGAAAATATTCCTTATATCACAACCTCCATACAGCGCTTCAACCAGTAACTGATGGTTGTGATACCTCTACATCCAAGTAGTGGGGTTCTTGCCTGCCAATAGGTGTCAAAGGCGCCGCAGTTCGCAGTGCAGACCAGAAACTTGTGACTGTGGGTTCGAATCCCTGTTTGCCCCTATTTGTTTCTTGGTTCGTCAGCACCAAACCCGTCCTCACACATTAAGCTGACAAGCCGCGTTATAACGGGGACACTGTTGGAAACGGCAGTACACCCAGTGTTTCAGTACAATGTCAGTAGACTACCCACGCGGCCATGGTGTAGCCCACGGGAACACAGCAGAGGAAGAACGCCAACAGCAGTACGACCATGAAGAAAGAGTTGGAGCGAGACGCCCGGTACGGCCGCTGGGACGGCTCACACGCCAACAGAGCAGACAGCTGCAACACAGGAGGATGGAAACGTGTGGAACGTACAGATATAAATATATTGGATTAAGTACACCCAAGTCTGGCTGGCTATTTCGCAGCAGTAATCATGGGCTCGAAAACTGCTATCAAAACCTGACAAACGAACAGGATAGTGACTTTCTAGCTCTCTGCGTCGTACGTGATGTAGTATTTACACATGTTTTTGGGGGGGAATGCTTTAATATTTCATTAGGATTGTCAGTACTACAAGTAAACAAATATGTACATAGGGTTCTCGAACCGTGGCTTTATACCATATAGAACACCATGATAAATAAATATGTACAGGGTTTGATTACACAGTGCCATTTACTAAGAAAGTGTAATCCCAAATATAACATACATGTATGTTACATGTACAGGGTTCTTGAACCGTGGCTTCATACTCACAAGTTTGGCATAGAACACCACAAACAGGTGTATACAATCATGGCCGGCAATAGTGGGGCGAAGAAGAATCCGAGCCTGGAACAGAGATGGTGGCTTGACATGAAGCACGTGTTGACAAGACAGACAGCTTGTTATACACAGCTTCGTGACATCTAAGGTAAAGAGTTAATTACTACAGATGTTTACACGACAGAGCTCCTCAGTTTAATAAGGTTTGCCTCATTAGAGAGAATTTTCTTTAAATTTGCATTTTGTAAAACTGTTTAATAAAATTCACAAAACTATAAATTGTTATTAGGCCTTATATTCAAATATAAGAAACATTCACTTTAAATATTTCAAGAAATAGAGAGGAGTTTTCATATTCACAAGAACTGTATCTCAGGAACACATGTTCTTTACGACGAATGTAGCATGAGTGGAACACTTGTAACAGTAAGTGTGATGTCTAACTAAACTTGAATTCTTTTCTTTCGGTACTCAAAGTGCACCTGCGTATACGGCAGTGAATATTAGGATGTATAACGATGTTTTTGTTTTGCTAGTTGTAATGATCATTGTTTTCAAAATTCAAATGAAAGTCCTTTCCAGTAGTGATAATGTTCTATACCCTCGCTATGGTGGCATGTCGTCCTTCCTCATTAGATTATTACACTTTTGTTATCCATAGATTTCTATCTTACTTACAGCTAGTTTTGCGTTTGTGAATGCATGTTCACAAACATAACCTTCTGGCATTACACATGTATGTTAGCTTACCAACATACAGTCTGGGTGTAGACAAGGTCCAGGACGTTCTGAGCGATCTGGAACTCGGGGGGTCCGATCATCTGGAACAGCTTGGCCTGGCACTTAGTGACGATTAGTCTGTCAACACAGATATATGGACGTTAGTAACAACATTCTGCAACATGTATCGGTAACCAATGGACAAAGAAAATAATGACTGGTGCACCATTCTGTTTAAGTGTTTGACAGATTCATTTGGATGGATAACGTGTCTTGGTAGGTACTTACTTTCTCGGGAGCTCGACCAGGAACACCTTGACGACAGTTACCAGGAAGTTCATGATAACCAACTTGTACATCTGCTGCCCAACGTACGTCTCCCAGCACTGTCGGTAGAACAGTCACACATTATTCACGGAAAAGTCACACATAACACAGAATAGTCACTCACTACCAACAGAACAGTCACATATCACAGACAGGACAGTCACACACTACACACAGAACAGTCACACTGAACACAGAATAGTCACAGAACAGTCACATATCACAGACAGGATAGTCACAGTCAGAAACAGTCACACAGAACACGAAATGTTCAGTCAGAATGATGCATCGTAAATTACCGACTGACTGAGTGAATTTGGTTTTACACCGCTTTAAGCAATATCCCAGCAACATCACGGCGGGGAACACCAGAAATGGGCTTCACACATTGTACCCTTGTGGGGATTCGAACCCGGGCCTTCGGCGTGACGAGCCAACGCTTTAACCACTGGGCTACCCCACCGCCCCCGTCAGATATTGAAGTGAAAAACATGAACATTTAAACACGGATAGTAGCACTAGTGGTTGTAGAAGACATTGTTCCTCACCCTGAAGACGGTGCATGGAGCCTGGTTTGTGAGACACGAGTCCTTGGGGCCACATCTGATGTCTGTATACAACGACACGACCAGCACCGCCAGGGAGGCCAAGCGGAGAAATACCGTCCTGGAAACAATACAAACATACATCAGAAACATACAACATACAACGGGATACAAACTCCTGGTTTACTGCGTCCAGCGACGTAGCGTGTAGATCGTTACAGCTTTATCACCTTGTAGTGACATAACCAGTGTCTTGGAAGGGTCGTCTGTAGTCTGTCGTACAGACCCTGAAACAAACATATCCAAGAAAGCCCATGCAATTCTAGATTATGTGGCAAGTCTAGATTATGTGGCAAGTCTAGATTTCCACAGTGTCTGAAAATGAAGAAAGTCTCAGGACTCCTGATAAAATTATATATATTTTTTTTATTATGAACGTTTTTTTCTGTAAAATATGTTCATTTCAGAGACTAGTTGTTAATCTAGCTCATATCCATCTTGAGCCGTTGAGCATCTGTGATGGAAACTAGGCGCTATACAAGCCAATTATTATTATTATTATTATGTTTTACAGATTAAAGATTGTATGCAGCAGAAAGGGTTCGGGTAATCCTGGCACAGTCAGGCTGGTAAGGCTCATCATCAGCTCAGGGCCCTTGCCCCCTCTACACGCAGCCCAGACAGCGAATGGGACTTCTCCCAGGAAACGCTGCCTAGTCGAACCCACCAAGAACTTTCCGTAGAATATGAAGGCTCCCCAACACTGCAGCCTTCTGCATTACCCAGAGTGTCAGAAGAGCTGTACTCCCGGTGGAGAACCCGGGCACTCTCTTGATCTGCGCCAAGAGATCAGGAGGTACCAAACCAAGGGCACCGAGAACAATGGAGAGCCTGACGACAGTGTACTTGGGATGCAAGCGAGACATTTCAAAGGCGAGGTCCGCATATTTATCATGCTTTTCCTGAATCTTGTCAATCACATTCATTGGCTATCAAAAGGTATTATTATGTTTTACAGATTAAAGATTGTATGCAGCAGAAAGGGTTCGGGGTGATCCTGGCACAGTCAGGCTGGTAAGGCTCATCATCAGCTCAGGGCCCTTGCCCCCTCTACACGCAGCCCAGACAGCGAATGGGACTTCTCCCAGGAAACGCTGCCTAGTCGAACCCACCAAGAACTTTCCGTAGAATATGAAGGCTCCCCAACACTGCAGCCTTCTGCATTACCCAGAGTGTCAGAAGAGCTGTACTCCCGGTGGAGAACCCGGGCACTCTCTTGATCTGCGCCAAGAGATCAGGAGGTACCAAACCAAGGGCACCGAGAACAATGGAGAGCCTGACGACAGTGTACTTGGGATGCAAGCGAGACATTTCAAAGGCGAGGTCCGCATATTTATCATGCTTTTCCTGAATCTTGCCAATCACATTGGTGTCAAAAGGGACAGAAAATTCAATGATATAAATAAATTCATTGGCTTTATCAAAAAGGACAAGATCAGGTTTGTTGGCAGGAATTCTTCTGAGGCTGTATATGGGCCTATTCCACAGAAGTTTGAAAGCATCATTTTCCATGACGCCCTGGACATGTTCAGGGTCGTACCATGGATGGACCTCGGAGTCAAAGCCACAGGCATGTCGGAGACGGTAGTAAAAGCAACGAGCCATGCCATCATGTCGTTTAAGATATGCTGTCTGTGCCAAGGAAGGGCATCCACTGATAAGGTGTTGGACAGTCTCTGTGAATTCATTTTTTTAAATTATTATTATTATTATGTTTTACAGATTAAAGATAATATGCAGCAGAGAGGGTTCGGGTGATCCTGGCACAGTCAGGCTGGTAAGGCTCATCATCAGCTCAGGGCCCTTGCCCCCTCTACACGCAGCCCAGACAGCGAATGGGACTTCTCCCAGGAAACGCTGCCTAGTCGAACCCACCAAGAACTTTCCGTAGAATATGAAGGCTCCCCAACACTGCAGCCTTCTGCATTACCCAGAGTGTCAGAAGAGCTGTACTCCCGGTGGAGAACCCGGGCACTCTCCTGATCTGCGCCAAAAGATCAGGAGGTACCAAACCAAGGGCACCGAGAACAATGGAGAGCCTGACGACAGTGTACTTGGGATGCAAGCGAGACATTTCAAAGGCGAGGTCCGCATATTTATCATGCTTTTCCTTAATCTTGTCAATCACATTCCTGTCAAAAGGGACAGAAAATTCAATGATATATATAAATTCATTGGCTTTATCAAAAAGGACAAGATCAGGTTTGTTGGCAGGAATTCTTCTGAGGCTGTATATGGGCCTATTCCACAGAAGTTTGAAAGCATCATTTTCCATGACGCCCTGGACAAGTTCAGGGTCGTACCATGGATGGACCTCGGAGTCAAAGCCACAGGCATGTCGGAGACGGTAGTAAAAGCAGCGAGCCATGCCATCATGTCGTTTAAGATATGCTGTTTGTGCCAAGGAAGGGCATCCACTGATAAGGTGTTGGACAGTCTCTGTGAATTCATTGCAAAGTCGACATTATTATTATTATTATTATTATTATGTTTTACAGATTAAAGATAATATGCAGCAGAGAGGGTTCGGGTGATCCTGGCACAGTCAGGCTGGTAAGGCTCATCATCAGCTCAGGGCCCTTGCCCCCTCTACACGCAGCCCAGACAGCGAATGGGACTTCTCCCAGGAAACGCTGCCTAGTCGAACCCACCAAGAACTTTCCGTAGAATATGAAGGCTCCCCAACACTGCAGCCTTCTGCATTACCCAGAGTGTCAGAAGAGCTGTACTCCCGGTGGAGAACCCGGGCACTCTCCTGATCTGCGCCAAAAGATCAGGAGGTACCAAACCAAGGGCACCGAGAACAATGGAGAGCCTGACGACAGTGTACTTGGGATGCAAGCGAGACATTTCAAAGGCGAGGTCCGCATATTTATCATGCTTTTCCTTAATCTTGTCAATCACATTCCTGTCAAAAGGGACAGAAAATTCAATGATGTATATAAATTCATTGGCTTTATCAAAAAGGACAAGATCAGGTTTGTTGGCAGGAATTCTTCTGAGGCTGTATATGGGCCTATTCCACAGAAGTTTGAAAGCATCATTTTCCATGACGCCCTGGACAAGTTCAGGGTCGTACCATGGATGGACCTCGGAGTCAAAGCCACAGGCATGTCTGAGACGGTAGTAAAAGCAGCGAGCCATGCCATCATGTCGTTTAAGATATGCTGTTTGTGCCAAGGAAGGGCATCCACTGATAAGGTGTTGGACAGTCTCTGTGAATTCATTGCAAAGTCGACATTATTATTATTATTATTATGTTTTACAGATTAAAGATAATATGCAGCAGAGAGGGTTCGGGTGATCCTGGCACAGTCAGGCTGGTAAGGCTCATCATCAGCTCAGGGCCCTTGTCCCCTCTACACGCAGCCCAGACAGCGAATGGGACTTCTCCCAGGAAACGCTGCCTAGTCGAACCCACCAAGAACTTTCCGTAGAATATGAAGGCTCCCCAACACTGCAGCCTTCTGCATTACCCAGAGTGTCAGAAGGGCTGTACTCCCGGTGGAGAACCCGGGCACTCTCCTGATCTGCGCCAAGAGATCAGGAGGTACCAAACCAAGGGCACCGAGAACAATGGGGAGCCTGACGACAGTGTACTTGGGATGCAAGCGAGACATTTCAAAGGCGAGGTCCGCATATTTATCATTATTATTATTATTATCATTATTATTATCTTCTGTCCAACCAACCCAGTCACTGGGGTACCTGATAAGGGTGATCTTGACAACGAAGTCCTGGGTGTACTGTTCAGCTTTGACGACGATGTTGAAGATGATGGGGATAGCGGCGTTCAGGGCGGTTATGGTGATGGAGGGCAGGTATTGTACAAACAAGAGGATGTAGGCAGCAGTTCCGGTGGCAGAGGTGTTGGAGGCGGCATACTATTTAAACGGGCAAAAACACATCGGGGTCATCAAACACAACCATGTCATTCATTTTAGAACGGTACGTCAATATGTTTCGACGAGTATTTCAGAACTGTGGCATGCTTGGTGTAGGCGGCCAACGTGATTCGGGATTTAGGCGTTTATCAGTTGGGAGAAATCAATCAAAACGGTTTGGGTCTGAGAAACTAATTATTATTACTGGGGAGAGAAATACTTGTGGCCATTATACATTGAAATATATAAACAATGGGCTATCAGTGCAAAAAACCTTCACGTGTGTTCTACAAGAACTCAACCCATTAATTGGGCAGCCGTATAGCGCCACCTAGACTTACGCTGGAAGACCACGTGGTCACATAGAAGATAAGGTAGCCTCCCGTGGCGAGGCAGGCGAGGACGAAGATGTTGACCAGGAACCTGACGGTGTACAGTCTGAAGCGCTTGCAACCATCCTTCAGTTTCTCCGCCCGTTCCTTCTCAAACCGCTCCTCGGCGAGGTCACTCTAGGACATTAGGACATGGGCGTTAGAGTGACGTCACTCCAGGGCGGCAGGACATAGGAGCCACAGTGAGGTCACTCCATTACAGTAAGACATAGGAGCTAGTGCGTAATCACCCAAGAATTCATGAAAGTCAGAGCGAGGTCACTGTAGGGCATCAGGACCATAGGAAAGGGCATATGTCCTGAATTGATTTGCCTCAAATTCTGCTGTGGGGGTTCAACTTTGAAGACTGACTAAAGTGGGTTAAAGTGGGTTGTATTGTACATACACATTTTAAAGTTCATCTGTGGTACCGGAATAAACGAATGCATCTATCTGGTCACTGTATATTGTTACATGCTAGGAGCATACAATATATATGCTGGCAAATCGGTCGACTCACGGATATATCATAGAATATGCTGCTGTGTTTGATCTTGGCCGTCTTAGCGTCACTGAGGGAGTAGTCCCAGCTGGCGAACACCTTGTTGCTGTAGCTGTTCCCGTTGTCATGTTCATCCATGATGGCGTCCCGAAATCCCCTGGCTGTGCTGCAGGTACAGGACTCATGTCATTCTGAACATGTCACACGAACACTCAAACAGATATATTTCATGAAATACCTGACCACAGAGGTAACGTGGTTCGGTATCATGGTTTAATACGCTGGTTTGACATTACCTTCCGGGCGTGTTGCTGCCCAAACAATACCACCATTGCAACACTGTTCCAGTGATATTGTTTCTCTATTCGCGTGATGTAGTTACAACGCCAATTCAAGATATTATTCTCTATGGATGAAAAACAAACTCCAAATAATCGTATGTATTTGCTATGAGGGAGAACCTGGCTAATCAGGTATTGATCACAGTGAGTGTTCTCTGTGGTCTATAGTACCTACTATTTAGCCATGAGGAACAAACTGACAAGTAGACACACGACGGAGACGAGGAAGTAGGCGAGGGGAACGTTGTAGTCGTAGCTGCTTGTTACTCCTGACCCTGCCAGGAACTGGGTGCCGGAGTAGTAGCCATAGAACAGGTACGTCTTCTCCATATAACCCTAGAAAGAGATGGAGCTACATTATACTCAGCTGCTTTAGTGATTTTACAAAATAATGTACTTATGTAACATTGGTAACAAACAAACAACATTGATATAGCTATACCATGAGCATGTGTACAGGAATCGCTGTCATACAGTACTGATACGTAGAGTTCGCGAGACAGTGAGTGTATATCACATTCACATCTCACGACAGATACGCTCAATAACAGAGGATTTAAATATGGTGTAACCATCAACCTGAAGACCAGAAGGCAGGCTGTCATAACGTACCGTCCCCTGGATGAAGTCGAGGATGAGTTCTGTTGCATACGTGGATATGTTGAGACTGTACTGCTGTGTGCAGTAGTAGGAGAGGTTGACAGCGGTGTCGGTGCTGGTGGTGCTGTAGTCGATGCTAGGCTGGAGGATCGTCGGCACAGTGATGAATCCGAACAGGAGAAGAAACAGCAGCAAATTGAGGCCAAACATCCACCTCAAGAACACGAAGTAGGACAACACACCCGTACCTTGGTGACCTTGAACGAAGGGTGATCACAGACTTGTAAAATAACTGCAGGAGCGATAATTTGGTTAAAACAGCGCACATGGCACGGTGTATAAATAGTATTTAAACAGATGGATGTTCTGTCTCCATACATACTGACACGTAGTTAAGAAGGGTATACATGCGAATCAATCACCATGGATTTCTTTATCATTTAAATTGTTGATGACTCTTTAATGGAACTAAACTATGTGATGTACTCACCTTCTATACCACGGAATGAGCTGCCCCATAACTCGATGGAATACATCACTTCTCTTGAATGTATCCTGAATTTCTTCCATGACTGTAAATATATAAGTGTCATTGACCACCATTCGTATATACACAGTGCTACAGAACAGACATGGCTGGAATGAGAACCTTGTAGATAAACGTACTCGATGGCTGGAATGAGAACCTTGTAGATAAACGTACTCGATGGCTGGAATGAGAACCTTGTAGATAAACGTACTCGATGGCTGGAAACTCGATGTTAATGTTTTGCTAGTTTATTAACAGTCAGTGTAGCAATGATATATTGTGCGACAATGATGTCTTTATCCTGAGTTTTCCTTTGCTTCTTTCATCGCTGCACATGTGTAAACTGTTCCTTGTACCCCTCAGGCAGCATACGCCATGCGAAGGCCCGTGTGTACCGTCCGTCATAGCACAATAGGGTATTAACTTCTAACCGAAACAACCAACAGACGCATTATGACGGTACTATGTACAGATAACTAGGGGGGCAAGGGGTGGGGGGGTAAGCATATGATGAATTAAGGTGTCCCCTAAAAGCATACACAAGTATGACAAAGTAAACCAGAATGCCATCGTTGAAGGTCCTCGAAAGAGCAAAAGTGGGACAACAGTAAAGATTTAGCACTGATTGGATTTTTGTGTAGAAGCATAAAACAAGTTGCTATATATCTCCGGCAATTACTTTGGGCAGGTCTCTACTGGCATGTGAGTTTTCTTCACTGTGTCGTAGTCAGGATACATCGTTACCAGGACTTTAGCTAACTGGGCGTGTGTTGTACTGACTTTAACAGAAACTGGCAATGGTTTGTTGATAGTCTAGATGCACATAATGCGCACAGTCAGGCAGTAAAGGTTTGCAATCATATTATAAGATGGCGTTTTTCAGTGAAGATTTCTTTTAAATGTGTGGATATATATATTTCAAATATATCAGCTCATATATATATTTGCAAAATTAATATATATATTAGAGTTTAATACAGTGTTTTTAGGTTCATGAAAGGATGATTCTACCTAATGATATTCCGGGGTCAATTTGTCCCTGACATTCAAAGTGTTCAAAACATTTCTGAAACATCGTTTCGGACATACGCTAAATACTGGATATATTGATCTGTAGACTCCGTGTACTTTCAGCTTATGAGTTGGACAGCGAGGTGTACAACGTTTTAGATGATTGCACATAATGAAGTAGCAGATATTCCTCAGTACATGTAGCGAGTCATACAACAATATAATTGCAAGAAAGAAGCGTTTTTCTATTATTACAATTTTTACAAGTTCCTTGTCGTTGCTGCAATGTTCAAACAAACTTGTGAAACATTTCAAATCTGCAGTCTCTAGATATTCATACTTATGAAAACATTGATTTGATAACAATTTTAGTATTAGTTTAGTCATTATAGTCAAAAGTTTTCAGTCCATGATAGCTCTCACCAGGATATTTCAGCTAGTTAATGTACACTGTCAAACTATACAACTAGTATAACAACCAGAAAAACATGTAAAAGTGTTCAATGTTTTGGTGTGTTTTGTTTTTTCTCTAAATGTAACCAAGATATTCCACCCAAATAAAATGAAAAGGAACCACTTCTTAATCAAGTATATAAACAACAGTACAAAGATACTTACTCTTCTTCGTATGGAAATGTTCAAACCGACGTCTAAACCAACTCATGAAATGGATTTACACTAACTGACCTATATGGGCAAGAAGCAAGCACTATGTAACACGCCCTTGTTACCTACCCTGGACACCTGGTACTTCCATGACTCCCACGCCGATAAGCCCCGGACTGGACCAGCGAAAAGCTTCTCTCTGAAAACGTATTGAGATTACCATTGTATAAGTGCCTGCAATTATCCATCGGCCTGATTATGTGTATACCTGCTCATGAGTCATAGATGTAACAGGTGTCTAGTCACCACGAAGAATGGTGCTTCATTTCAGATAGTCGTGTCAGGATCAAAACCGATGTCGACGACCGATGTTTCATATCTGTCGAAGCCAGCCCCATCCCTTTATTCTTCTTATAACGACAACTTTGTCAATGTAATGCTTCCACACAATTGTGTATTCTTTCCGACATCCACCATGTTATTAGAATCCTGATTAACAGTGGTCGTAAATCAATTTCACGGTTCTATTAAACACAAATATCATGAAGCTAATACCGCATTAATACCAAACAAATAATACCAACTGTGGTGGCTGTAGGTCCCCCGGTCGACTTGACTGGCAGGACTAATTTCATCAGTGCTATCAGCTTACTTATCAGATGTGTTTGAATTAGAAAAGCGACACCCCGTTGCCACATCTCAATGCACCAAACTTTAACTATCATGCACCGAGTACCGAAAACAGTATACCTGTGGCGAGCCCATTTCATCCTGCCACTCTTGACATAATCCCTAATGAATAACTTCCTCAGCTCATCCTGAGACAACTTCTGGTTGCCTTTCCCCAGGCGCATCTTGGTCCTAAGATAAGTTCTCCGCTGTACAAAACGTGGAAGCTTCTCAGAACATGTCTATTCTTGGTGGGTATGTAAAGCCAGAGAAAATGCACCACCAACTGCCCCGGACTTGCAACCTCGTGGGCAATCTGCTACATGTATGTCCTCAACAGTAAGTAGTGCAAACTGCGATACACGTTTACACATTTACATATCAATGAATCCTATTTCGTGCTCTGCAGTTTTGACTTTCAAATGAGATAATTCGCATCCAGGCGCAATTATGCTTCCAAGATTCTCGTCGACATTGCCTGCAGGTAACAGCGAGGACGTAGGAGAACCCGAGTAACACTTGCTTGAAGCACCTTCAGAATATCACGAGAAGGTGCCCGGATATTTCCCTTACTTGGGAACTGTCTCAAGTCCTGAATCGTGGGAGGCTAGGTAAGGTAATCACAATAACCACCAGCGGCCCCTGTACGTGTGCAAGCCCGCCATCACAAGGACAGTTATGATGATATCCTCAGGTTACAATGCATCAATCTGACGCGGCAGCATGTCTCACGTTACAGGCCTACACAGATGTTGCACTCAGTGCACAAATGACTATCTGTATACACCTGCGTTCCAATATCCTCAATAGGCGAGGACGCACGTTCTAGTTACTACAGAGAATCAATTGTAAAAGTATTTGGATGAAAATGTCTTACATGATAATTTCGGTACACCTTTAACTTTAGGTCACCGTGACCTAATGGGAGCCTTATGATATGTTGATTGTCACAATTCGCATTGTCGTCCCGAACACAACGCACTTCAGAGCCCCATCAAAGTAAGATATGGAATGTATTATTAAGTAAACGACAATTAAATAAACGGATGGATGTGTATAATCTAAGAAATAAACCAAACTAATCATCAGAAAATGAACAGAACACAGAAACAAGGGATACCTCAGCATGACCTTGGTCATCATATTACAAGGAAGTGCCCGGATGCTGTCCATGACCTCCAACTGTTTAAACTCATCATCGAGGTTCTCAAGATCAATGCCACTAGCGGCAAACTTCTCTATCTCAACGTCCACCTCTGCCGGTTGGGCGTCCCCATTTGTGGGGAAAACTCGATTTTTCTTTCCCATCAGACTTTTTCTGGTTTGCCGTTTTGTGACAAAACGTGCGTGTTCGACTGGAGTTCCTATCGGCGCCTTCTGCTGTTTGCGAGGCACAAAGGCGACGATGGCGTTCGTGTCTTGAGTCAGTGCATCTTTCTTCGTCCCTTTTTCAGTAGAGTCAAGCTGATCCAAAATGGTATCTGGAAGAAAGTGACAGCTGTGTTATTTTGTGACCCCTATCAAGAAATATAATATTAAAAATAAGTAAATAAACTGGATGGATGGATTGATTGATGGATAGATTGAATGAGAGCAGGACGGTTTCAAACTAACTCATGTTGGTGTCTTGGAGAGAGTGAGAGCTTGTGTTATTTTGTGATAGTTGCTGCTATTTTGGAGTTTGTTCTGCGTGTGCTTCGGAAAGTATATCACATTGTTTTGTTCTGCGACAGCTTCAGTTAGGGTTAAGTGAATGGGGTGGGTTTAGCCCCCCTTTTTAGAGTTTTCAATAAAATCACGGCTTAATGTCAGTTTAAAGCGGGAGGCAAGTCCAAATTAATGCGCTCCTCGGATGTTTACCACTGTTAGGCGCAACCCACCAAAACGAGACTGGTGTTCACTGACCAAGAGACATGACCTGGGTCTGATCCCACAGGGCGTGTCCAGAGGCCGCTTTCATTATGGTATCTGCTTTAACCTTAAATTGGTGGTTACTACCTACGTAAAGAAACATCAATTATTTCGTTGAGTTTATGTTTTTTGGTAAAGACTTTACTATAGAGTCTGGGGAAATATTGTTTTGATAATCTTTTTAATCGATACATTAATTACCTCATCTGTACTTCAGTCAGTAATTCTTCCAAATACATTAAATGGTATTCGATGTATCTTCATGAAGTGTTCATAACATCTGACATGTTGAGACGTACAACAAAGATCATAGTACCTGTAATTAGGGGCGCACGTAATCCCGCGTTACGTCAGCGGGTAATGTCAAGGCCATTGTGTTGCCTAAGCTCCCTTTACCTACATGTAAAGCTGTAATCGTGCTAAATGGTCTCCATGCTTTTGACTCCAAGTGCCCTGGTTAGTCCAGAAATGCAGGTTCTATTAAGTGACAGGGTTGTTAACTAAGACCCTCAAATATAACACCCAGGGAAGTAAAAATTAATTGTAAAAAAGGAAGATTTATTGTCAATATGTTGCTAATAATGTAGATTGGGTATATATGAAATTTAACTAGCTGTGTGATAATGTTTATTTTAGCTGAGAGAAAGGGTTCAGGATGTATGCTCTGTGATCATATCGACTTGTTCGGGAGCGTTTAGATAACCATTTATTACACAATCCATATGTCGATATTTTCACTTCAGCTTACCCGTGTCCTATATATGTAACTCAGACACCAGTTATTGAGGGATCTCTACATGGCAGCCTTATGTTGGAATGTTCCGGCTAATGCATGTGACTCGCATGGTTAATTGATGCCCAACACGAGATCATTACGACAAACCTGTGACCATGTTCTGGTTTAACAGGTCAAACAGTGCAGCTGATTTCACAATTTCAAGTTGACATTCATATATGTATACATCTGTATCAGATCTCTCCTGGCCTCAATAAAGGAGGTCTGGCAAAAAAGTGGGAGCATGATTGACTTCAATAAAATATCTATAGTATTGATATGTATATGGTTACTACATATGTTTAAACATTATATATATACTCAGTGTGCCTTACCATTCCGTCTTCACTCTGTTTACATTAAATACATTCACTTATGGCCTTTTTCATTATGCTAACATTTGTATAGCGCCAATATCCAGCTCAGCTGCTCAAGGGCGCTTAACCCTCCCTCCTATTTTATCCCTCCCTGCTATCTACTCAAAATCATTCAGGCTTTATGTTTAAACACTACATATCTTTAGTCTGCCTTACCATTCCATCTACACTCTGAATACATTCAAAACATGCACTACTGGCCTTATGTTTAAACATTATATGTACTCCGTGTGCCTGTGTCATTCCGTCTACTCCCTGTTTACATTAAATACATGTACCTATGGCCTTATGTTTAAACACTATATATATTATATTACTCATTTTCATATATGACACATGTTACTGTCAACTACAAATTTCCCACTAGATCATTCTGTGACACAGATCACACCAGATACATATACATCATTGCGAATCATACATACACACCATGCTAAAAGGCATCACAAGCATAATAACTGATGAACTGTTCAACAAGCAACAGGTGGGATGCTCCTGTGATGTGTAGGAGCCAGCATGGCCACCAGCATCAGCTGCACTACGGGGGAGCTACTGTGTGAGATGCCAGTGTGTGAGATGCCAGTATGTGTGATGCCAGTGTGTGAGATGCCAGTGTGTGAGATGCCAGTGTGTGAGATGCCAGTGTGTGAGATGCCAGTGTGTGAGATGCCAGTGTGTGAGATGCCAGTATGTGTGATGCCAGTGTGTGTGATGCCAGTGTGTGAGATGCCAGTGTGTGTGATGTCAGTGTGTGTGATGTCACTGTGTGAGATGCCAGTGCCAGTGTGTGTGTGTGATGTCACTGTGTGAGATGTCACTGTGTGTGATGCCACTGTGTGAGATGACTGTGTGTGATGCCACTGTGTGATGCCTGTTGTTGTAAGACATTTCCTGAAACACGGATTGTGGCAGAGTTCTGCGCAATGCTATGTAGTACATTACCTAAACTGCTCCACGACATTGCTGATGTATACGTCCACGTGCACCACACTCGCGTTCCCTACCGCACAACACGACATGTGTGTAATGAGTGTCTGGTGATTACTCAGTCACGTCCAGTGGTGACTTGATCGGATTACATTGTTGAGCCACAATGGAGATTTGTTTGGGTTTTATGTGGAGGCCAACCAGTAATCTGGTTGCCTAACCGGATCAGTGTAGGTTCTGGGAGGTGAATGACGGACAGGTAGGAGCTTGCTCCAAGTACATCTGCAATGACTCATCCCTATTGCCTAGCGTGTCTTCATGTGTCATTGTACAACACACAGAAGAAGGCGGAACATCACTCTTCTTTGTCTTCATCCAACCTGAACTTCCATGTAACTTCTTAACAGTCCTTCCATTCATATCGATCGTTGAAGGTGGGAAAAGAAGAAATAAATCCATGTTCGCTGTTATGGATTTTAGAAAAGCTTCCCTTGATCCACTTGATCGATCTCTGTGTACTTAAAATAATCAGTGTTACCACAGTGTTCAAACTTTCTATCATAACACACAACACAAGAATAATAATGTAAAAACTGAAACTTAAGGTTACATACAACCTACATAATGGATATAGGACACATGAGTTAGTGAGTGAGTTGGTGAGTCAGTGAGTGACTAAGTTATTTAGTTTGAGTTTATGTCTTTTGAAGCACAAATGTCACATCAAATATCTTCAGTATTTTCTCTGCCGACAGATGCAAGTGGGTGCGGATTAACTGAATTCTGCTGCCGTAATCCAGGCATGTGGAATAACCATCCAGCTTTATTCACAGCTGAACTTCAAATTTAACACGCTCACTGTGACGTTTGGCTGCTGCCGATGTTTTCGAACACGCTCATTGTGATGTTTGGCTGCTGCCGATGTTGACGAAGACGCTCACTGTGATCTGCCGATGTTAACGAACACTGCTGCCTGATGTTAACGACTGCTGCCGATGTTGACGGACAAGCTCACTGTGATGTTTGGCTGCTGCCGATGTTGACGGACACGCTCACTGTGATGTTTGATGCTGCCGATGTTAACGGACACGCTCACTGTGATGTTTGGATGCTGCCGATGTTAACGGACACGCTCACTGTGATGTTTGACTGCTGCCAATGTTAACGAACACGCTCACTGTGATGCTGCTGCCGATGTTGACGGTAAGACACTCACTGTGATGCTGCTGCCGATGTTGACGAACGAACGTAGACAAATGACGCATTTGTCAGAACGTTGCTGTGCACCTCGGTAGATCCAAGCCGTCCCCAAGATTTCGGTAGATCCAAGCTCCCAAGATTTACTGCACCTCGGTAGATCCAAGCCGCTCCCCAAGATTTACTGCACCTCGGTAGATCCAAGCCATCCCCAAGATTTACTGCACCTCGGTAGATCCAAGCCATCCCCAAGATTTAGATCTGCACCTCTGCATCTCGTAGATCCAAGCCATCCCCAATTTACTGACCTCGGTACTGCAAGATTTACTGCTCTCGGTAGATCCAAGCCGTCCCCAAGATTTACTGCACCTCGGTAGATCCAAGCCATCCCCAAGATTTACTGCACCTCGGTAGATCCAAGCCATCCCTAAGATTTACTGCACCTCGGTAGATCCAAGCCGTCCCCAAAGATTTACTGCATCCTCGGTAGATCCAAGCCATCCCCAAGA